GCTCTACTCACTCAGTCATTTTGGATGCTATGGCCACACAGTACACATGCTCACTCAATGGCACCTACTGCCCCCACTGATTAGTAGAGTGAAGTTGCCATTGTTCACACATGTGCATTCCAGTCCACTCTCTTTGGGTGCCAGGTTACATCAATGTTGTGCAAACTTTTCTCATTATATTAACAGTGGCTGGATTTGTTCTGGACAGACCTCATATTTTTATCAGCTCTCCTTGTGATAACCAGTCATTACCCATCTTGAAATGTCACCTTCCCCCGAGGCCTATTGGTATATAATATTTAAAACTGCATCCCTTCTTCTTTTCCACCTGAACTCCTAACCAGCTCTTTTTACCCCTTCACAGGATTTAGCATTTTCTTTGATTTACTTGTTTAATATGTTTACTGTTATTCTCTATCTCCACCACAATGCAGATGCCACAAAGAAAGGAAATTTTATCCATTTTATTCATGGACAATAGGCCTGGTACATAATAGTATTTGTTGACTTGCATGTAGTACCTTTCATGAAGGAGAACAGGAACACTGTCTGGGTATGGATAGCCTAGGTGTTCCCAAAAGAGAGATTAAATCTGATGCAACTTTGTGATCTCAGTCACATTTTTAAACCATAGTTTGATTCGCTTGCTCTCATTCCATAGCTTATAAAATAGTTCCAGTCCAGCAGAATTAAACTTCTTTGTGAAATTTTCAATATATCATGTTAAAGACTGAATTTTGAAGGTAGCACACCATCTAGATGGTATGTGAAAGAGTAAGGGATAATATTAATTAGTGGGAAGGACCATGGGCTTTAGAAACAAACCACTTCATCATCTCCTGTTAGATGTGACTTTGAGTAAGTGACTTAACCACAGAGCCTAAATTTTTCAGTCTTTAAAATTAGAATAACATGTACTGGGACACTTATTGGGTAGGCTAAATATACAAAGTTATGTGAAAATGCCTAGTGCACAGTAGGTACTTGTTTATATTGGCTCTCTTTTCCTTTCCTTCCCCACCATAAAAACAGCTTTTATTACATTTTTATTTAATATTATTTTACATATTTTCAACTTAGTCCTAATTCTAGTTCCCACTGGCTTTCTGTGTTAGATTATTTTAGTAATCTGTGGTACACAGAATTTCACAAAGGTTTCAAAAAGCCGATAGATAGCATTCACTGGGCATGAATTTGGGGGGATTGTTTGGGAAGGTCTGTTTTCCTCATGTGATTTACACAAAAGATGTTTTGTCTTCTGCTTGTTGTCAAAAGTACCAGCAGTGCTATCCTCATGGATTGGCACCTTAGACTTTAGGGCTGGAAAGAATCAATTTTTCCTCTTGCATATTAAGAAATTAAATCATCTGTATGTTAAGTGGCAGAGTAAGGGATAATAAATAATTTAAAATGACTTCTTGTTCATTGTTCTTTCTACCGTATGATACTTTCACATAAATGAAACACAAAATTTGATGGTTTTTATTATTAACATGATAATGTTGGTTCAGACTTCTATCACACACATTTAACTTCTTGAATTTGTCTCCACCATGCACAGAGCACTAAAGGGTATGCATAAAACCACGTGTCCCTTGTGCTGCCCCCAGCCACAGAGGCCCACTGCCACCCTGTGCATATAGTCCTTACATTCTTCTATCATTTTCACCAAATGTAAACTTTCATGTGCTTTACTTTTTTCACTTAAAAATGTAAAAGTAATATATTGCAAATGGTGTGTATTTACTTCTCACAACTCCATGACCATCCCTGCTTATTCTCAGCTACTATTAATTAATTGCTTGATTTTTAAATTCATGTACAAGTGCTTATTGAGCATGGTGTCAGACCCTGTTCTGGCCTCTGAGTGGAGGAGTGAAGATGATGGAAGAAAACTGCTGCTGGCGTGGAGCTTACCCTCCTAGGTTGTGATTGGTGAGACAATAAGGGTACAAATAATAATCTCTATAATACACCAGAAAAGGGAGATATGAATTTCTTCAGACGTACTTAGGGGAAGGCAAAAGTAGAAATTTATCTGGACTTTAAATGATGAGTAAAGTTCAACAGGAATTGAAATGAGAAGTGTGCTGTGGCACGCCTCATTGTTGTTTCAGTCTGGTGTAGCTGTTTTGCATGGTGGCACTTGAAATTCTGCATTCAAAGTTACCATTGGTTCGAAATTTTGGAAAATTGATTCCTTTTGGAAATAGTTTCCTTTTTAAAATTAAAAAAAAATTTTAGATTTTATTTATTCATTTTTAGAGAGAGAGGAAGGGAGAGAGAAAGACAGGGAGAGAAACATCAGTGTGTGGTTGCCTCTCACATGCCCCCAAGTGGGGGCCTGGCCCGCAACCCAGGCATGTGCTCTGGCTGGGAATTGAACCGGCAACCCTTTGGTTCATAGGCCGGCACTCAATCCACTGAGTCACAGTAGCCAGGGCTGGAAATAATTTCTTTATTTGCAGAATAATACTGTTTCTTTGTCTTAGAAATTAGTGTCTGTTGATCTCCTATTTTTTTCCCCAATTTGTTTATTTGAACTAGACATGAAGGTTTTTATATGTGATTTCAACCTATTTGACCTTTTTTAATGTAAGAGTTTTGCTCTTTAGTTTCTTCCTTGCCATTTTGTATGTGTATATTTGCTTCAGTACCATAAGGTGCTTACCACAGAGGTTGTCAGCCTTGGCTGCACACTAGTCCTTTGGAGAGCTTTAAAATGCTGATGCCTGGGCCCCACCAGCATCTGGGGTGTGACCTCAGCACCAGGATTTTTAAAAGCTCCTCAGGTGATTCAACTTTGCAGCTAAGCTTAAGAAGCCATTGGTTTAAAGTATTTCGGAAGTAACTGAAACATGCTTTCCACTTTTGGAAAGTAGGTAACCGTGGCTTATATGAGTGTTGTGATCAATCTGCCATCTCAAGTCTCATCCTTAGAATAAAGTGAAATGATTAGAATTGGGATGGTAGAATCCAGTCCTTGACTTCATTAAAGCACTGTAATTGCTATTCACCAAACCATGAGTGGAATTAAAGCATATACAAGTATATGGATAGAATAATTTTAAGGCCTTTAAATTCCTGTGTGGAATGACAGAAGGGATAATAGTTCTTTGGAGCTCAATGCAGATCAGAGTTCTATGGCTTATTGTTTGTCAGAAATTAACAGATCTGTTTTTAGAGCCTATAACAAATACTAATTTATGTTAGTATAGTTGGGCAAACATTGTTTTCAAACTCTTGTTGCTTTGTCACCTACTTTCACTGTAATAAGTACTCTGTTACCATAAGAGGATCTTTGTTTACTCCAGTAACAAGATGTTGGACAAGGACTTGTAAACTCAAATAGTTGCCTCCCTGGGGTATCAGAGAGCTTCCAAAAATAAATCGATCTGAACTTTAGAGTTTTCCTTGCTTTTATTCTGAGAAGAAATCTAGTCTATTTCCAGCTTGGAATTGGGAGCCGAGATCAGGTTCGGGATATTTGCTGTCATTTCACTGTTTGTTTTGATGTGTTGTGAATTCCCAGAATACACCCACATTTGTAGTATGAACAACAGTAGGGCTACAAACTTCTTTTATGTCTATATGACATACTAGTATGGTGTCTGAAAATAGTGGGGCTTAGTGAAGAGATGGATATGATAATCAGAATTCAGATCCTAGGTTTTCCATTTATAAGCTGTTACCTTGATTTATTTAACTTGTTTAACCTTAGTTTTCATATCTGGAAAACTGGTGGAAATGATACTTAAGTTGTAGGTTTGTTAATGAGGTGAAATAGTTTAGATTCTTAACACAGTACCTGCCCACAGTTGGTCTGTAATAAATAATCTTTCTATAGTTTTGAGATTGAATTATTCTAGAGAATTATTCTAGTAAAAATGATGCCTGAGAACAAACTAAGCTCAAAATTTTTAAAATAATAAATCTTATTAATAATTACTATTTGAGGTGGTATATATGAGTCATATTTTATGTATCTGAATTCCTGAATGTTTCTGAATTTCTAATAAACTTGATGCTCTCCTGATAAAGGTGTTGATGCATGTGTGCCTTTGTTTATTGTGAAAGGTTTTATGTTTTTTCATTATATTTAGAGGCATGTTTCAAGGATTCAGAGATTCTTACAATTTAAAGGGAGAAATTGGAAAGTTGACAGTATAGACTAGGCAGTAAAGTGTAGCAAAGGCATCAGTACCTGTGTGCATGGATGCAGAATGAATATCTAAGTGAAGTGTAATATAAGGAAGGTTGGAGTGTAACCAACTCAAATGAAATCATTCATTTAAAAAATGGTTATTTCATTCCTTCGTGCACCCAAATAAGATCATCATCATAATGACTCCCCCTGTTTTCTACCTCTTACAACTTGTTCTCATTTTTAAAGGCACAATTCAGATTTGGTTTATTTTATAAAGTCTACCGGCCCCTCTCCCCCATCACACTCCAGGGACACGAATCATGTTTCTCTGCAGTCTGTCAGCATGCAGCCTCTCCCTGACACTTCTTTTACCCTTTCATTTTCAAAGAACTTAAGTTCATGGCACTAGATTGAGGGTTGTTCTGGGTCCCACTGGCTTTGACATCAGAGAGAGATTCATTTTAATCTCCATTTTGTCACTTATTTTCTTTGTAAAGATTTCTCCTTTCTGTGTTCAATTTACTTATCTCTAAGACTGCGATACAAACTTCTATCTCATAGTTTTGTTGAAAGGTTAAATGGTGTCAGTGGCCTAAGTAAATGTTGAGTAAATGGTAGTGAATGTTGTTATTGTATGTAAATATGATACTTGACTTAAACCTCCACTTCTAAACTGAACTTTTTAGGACAGAGAACCATCACTTGGCATTTAGCATACGGTTTAATAAATTAACATTTGTTAATTGATTACATTAACTTTCATTTTTTACTTGACTTTTAAAAAGTATTGGCAGATGTCAAAATAGTTCATAAAAACTCTTTTCTAAGTGACTTTGTTTTAAAATCCCTACAGATACCTTCTTTTCCCATAACTTCACTGTCCTGAAACCTGAGTATTCCACCAAGATAACATGATAGGAATGTTCAGTGGTTCAGAGCCATATCCTACTTAGACTCATGTAGGCCGTCCAGATTTCCTGAGAGCTCGGTACAGGGACACGCTGCTTGCTGATCGGCACAAGCAATAATGCCATCTCTGCCTCAAGAAAGAGGTAAGCGGACTGACTTAATCACATTGCAAAATATAAATATAGAGCATCACTGCTGATTATTTTTAAGAATGAAAAATTAATTGGGGACCCTTAAGAACTAGAACTTAAAATTTTACATTTTGGGGGAGGGCATTTGTGTTCGCTGGTGTGGGATTTTTGTTATTTCAATGATATTTTGTTGTTTTACATTTCTTTTAAAGTTATTCAGGGACCCTCTCCCCTGGATCTGAGTACAGATCTGTCTTATCAAAGCACTATGAAGAGGAAAGTCAGAAAGAAGAAAAAGAAGGGAATAATCACAGCAAATGTGGCTGGGACCAAGTTTGAAATTGGTAGGTCTCCTAAGAATCATGAGATTTCCATACTTCTTTTCAAAACTAATTTGATGTTGAAAACAATGTAGAAATTCAGAGAGATAATCATCTTTTATGAATGTAGGTTTAAATGCCTTCTATAAAATTTTATGAGATACTTAAAATGTCGATAATCAAATAAAACATGAGTATAAACTAAAAACTTTAGTTATTAATGTGATTTTGATTAAACTTAATGTTAAAATTGAGTATAAAATAATATGAGCATTAAACAGATTAAAATATTAACTATAAAATGAACAGTATAAAATTTTAGATTTTTATTAAACAAAGAGTCCCCGACTTAAAGAATAGAGTAAAAACACATTTCTCTCTTTTAAAAAATTTGTTTGAAGATGCTGTTGCTATTTATTATTAATGAAATTCTAATTTTCATGTGTAAATAGTATCTGCAGTGTAGAGAACAGATAAGAGGAATTTATTACTTGAAATTAATGTACTTTTGCCCAGTGTTGCAAACTCATTATCAATAGCAAGGACTCAAATAATATTCCTCTTTTCTTAATTATTTTGCATTAAAAGAGTTGAGGAAAATCATATGAAATCCAAGGATGTTAATATTTTTACCCTTATTAATCATTGAGAATCTCATTTTTATTTCCAGTAATTCACTGAAGCTCATCAACAATCAATGGAATACTTCAGTGCAGTTGAGGTTCTTCAGTACTCTATTCCAGCTGTTTTCAACCTTTTTCATCTCATGTCCTGCATAAAGTAATTACTAAAATTCTGTGGCACACCAAAAATATGTTATAGTTTTGGCCGATCTGACAAAAAAAACGAGGTATAATTTTGATGCATTTGCACCAGATGGATATTTTGTTGGCTGTTGCCATTTTCTAAAAATTGACAATCTAAGGGAAAAGAAGCCAGCGCCCCTGACTAAATAGTAAAGTTTTGCAAGTTTTAACAATTCTTGCAGCACACCAGTGCGCCACAGCACATTGGTTGAAACTTGCTGCTCTATTCCAACAGGTGTTCCTCAGAGGAAAAGACTTTAAGCATGTTGGTGTGAGTGGGTGAGATGTGAAAGGTTCAGGGTTTATTTCAGCCTGTTTTCCAGAGTGAACAAACAAGAGTAAGGTGTCTGTTGTAAAAGTGATTGATGGGTGGTGTTAACTTATCCTTTTACTTTTAAAGTTCTTGTGGGGTTCGTGGGACACCTTGATTGAAAGGCGAGTGTTTTAAGTGCAGTTCTGTCTCAGTTTCCTAGGAAGTGTTTAGAGGGCTAAAGTTGCATTAGTATTCTTCATGTTGATCCTGGTTCCATTTCTCTCATCAGGGTCTTGCCAGTTATTTCTGAGGGGCCCAGACATTGTGTCTCGTACTCAGGAATAGGTCTGCTCCTAAGCTGCTGTTCTGGCCTCACCCTTGCTTTTGGCCAGTGGGCCCCAGGCTGTGGTGCACCCACCCTCCCTATGAACTCTAGGGGGCACAGCAGCTCCTGAGCCCTCAGGATGCCAGAGCCAGTTGGTGGTTTGTGGCAGAGGACCAGCCCTTTCCCAACCCTCAGACATTGTCACTGGGCCTTCAGAACAACCCAAGTTGTACTGAGCCTCTGATGAATCACAGCAACATCAGCCCAGCAGCCCCCTTCCCAACTTCATCCACCTCTCATCACTGCCCTCCTTTACAAAGCCTGTGTCCTAGGCACTGTTGCATGAAAAGTTCTTTTTTCCCTCGGCCAAGAAACAAACATGAGTCCCCAGGACTTGAGACCAATAGGTGTTTGCTCATCAGTGTCATACTTGAGCCAAATAATTCAGACAATTGGTCGCTTTTTATCATTCCTCCTCACATATTGGATACCAGTTAAACATTTAAAAATAAAACACTGAAGCACTGCTATGTAGTTAGAATTTTGTTGGAACCTAAAATTTATCCTAAGTATTTTGCTTATCTTTATTGTAGATTAGGCTGGACTTGAAATTAATTGGAAGAAGAATATCAATGTCAATTATCATATCTAAATCAGAGAAGAGCCTATAGTTTGTACTAAAAAGCAGCTTTTCTCTGAGTATAAATTCTTTTCAGTAATATTAGTGAATTTGGGACAGATAAGAGAACCAGTTTTTTAATATGTGCAGTGAAATCTGCTTTATTATTTTCTGCTCTTACTTAGTCAACATGCTGACTTGATTTTCACCGCTAAAAATAATTTGAACTAGGGAGGTAGAAAGTATAGCTTAGGTCAATGATATATAATGATCAGGGGCTATTTTTCCTTTTCCCTTTCGTACCTAGCCCAAGGTCATGCAAAAGCCAAGGAAGTACGTTTTCCTGGGAGATGTGTCGTCTCAGCTGTGCATGTGTTTTCCTTGTGCCAAGAGTAACACTGACCTTTTTAACAGTGTTGTGTACCTGTTCAAACTTAGGAACTGATGCTAAGGATTGTGGGTGCAACCTAAAAACCATTCACAGTTACTTTTAATTATGATTTGGCATTAGATAAATTGCTGTAACTCAAAATAAGCTTATGCTGTAACTAATGGATATTTTCCCAATGAAACACTTTCAGCTAAAATTTATATATGTACATGAAAGAGTGTTTTCCCATTGAATATATTGCTGAGGTATTTTAATTTTGCTTTAACTTAATAATTTACTTGCAGTTCGTTTAGTAATAGATGAAATGGGATTTCTGAAAACTCCAGATGAGGATGAAACAAGTAACCTTATATGGTGTGATTCTGCAGTACAGCAGGAGAAGATTGCAGAGCTGCAAAATTATCAGGTGGGGAATCAATCATGACCAATGATTGGCTATTAGGGAAGTTAAGTGAATTCCCTTATACTTTTCCTTAAATAGGGTTCTTAATGTGTTGACATACTAAATTTCAGTCCTAACTTACCTGAATAGCCTGTTATCTAGTTGCACTGACTGAACATGAAGCCTCTATCCTTTCAGATGTAAATTTAACATCTTTCCATGTTTAAGAACACATTGATAGAAGTAAACTTTTCCTAGACCGGTGTTTTGCATTATGCTTACAGATGAGTGATGTGGGATAGATTGCATAGAGAGATCATGATGTGGAAATAACCTGCAATGTCAGTTATATATCTGGCTTCATTCTTTTATGTTTAGGATGTGATACAAACTTAAATTTAAAAAGTCAAATGCATGGAATTTTAGACAGTTAACTTTGTATAGTTCTTCATCTGTTATTTTGGATGGTAATACAGATTTTATTATAGGGAACAAATAAGTACACTTTTACCAGTTTTTATGCAATGCTTATCTGTATGAATATAGTACATCTAGAATGCCAAAATTAATTTCAACAATGAATTACCAGTTATTCAACACAGAAAATTATAATGTCTATCTGATCACCCTTTTCTGATTTCTTTAAAATTATGCAATTTTATTTTCTGATTATGATAGATTCTTTTATTCATCATAGGTCATTTAATTTAAATATTTTACATTAATAGTTGTCCATTTTTTAAGACATGAAAACTTAAAGGTTGGTGGTAACTGTATTATAGTATAAATGAATGTGTTAATTAAGTCAATGAGAATATTAACATTTACCTTTTTATTTTCCAGAGGATCAACCATTTCCCAGGAATGGGGGAGATCTGTAGGAAGGATTTCTTAGCAAGAAATATGACCAAGTAATCTTCATTTTCTTGTAATAGAATAGCTCTGTTAGAAATTTACATTTTGAATATTATAGCGCTATCTTTCACAAAGTCATATTGATTTGAAATGATATTTTGATGGAAGAGAGAGAATTTTAGCACTAGGAAGGTCTTAAAAGTTCTCTGATTCCATTCCTGCACTTTGGGAAGGTGGTAACGGAGGTCAGAGCAGCGTCTTGCACAAAGTCAAACAAGTCGTGAACAGCAGAGATGGATCAGGATCTTGGTTTACATAATCTGAGGGTTCTTTCTACTTTTTATTCAATATGTACTTACTCATTTTCAGTTAAACCTTGCAGGAACTCATTTGTTGCATTATTGCCATGTGTGCATATGTGTGTTCACATACCGGTTACTGAATGTCTAATATGTGCCAGGCACTGCAGGGGGCATGTGTGTGCACATACCCACACCTAGACCACATACAGACAGGGTCAGGCAAAAATAGGTTTACAGGTGTGAGTATGCAAGACAGTTTATTCTTGTACTCTTTGTTAATTATTGTATTATTTTTCATACAAACAACTGTAGACCTACTTTTGTGCCCCCGGTATATGCCCACCCAAGGATACACATACACATATATTTGTTTCTGAGACCACTGTTTAGAGTAACTATCTGCTTTCATGGGAAAAACTGTTCACAGGTACTCAAGCACTGAATAAACTGTAGAATTTTTATGCAGTTTATATTTCTATTGATTAGATTTTTTTAGTTTTAGAAAGTTGAGTGATAAATTGAGAAAATAATTTTAAAAAGTGATCACTTTCATAGAGAAAGGTTAGTAAAGTTGTGTGTGTAATTAAAGAAATATTTGCATGTATCCATGTGAAAGTTTATATATTCATTTACTCAACAAATATTTTTGAATGTCTATTTTAGCCTCTAGAGACTAGTAGCTTTGGAGTAAACAAGATAAATAAGGTGTAGTGTCTGTTTAGCACTGAACAAATAATTCTGCATGTCTATTTTATGTCCCAACTCTGAAGTAAACAAGATAAATAAGGCCTGTTCCCTGCCTAGGGTGCACATTCTAATAAGGGAGGAAGACTGACACACACAGTACAGCTTGGTGGTGCCGCGTGAGAGGTCGCGTCTGTGTATGGCGAGGTAACAAAGGTCGTAGGAGGGGTTTTTGGGAGGATCAGAGAAGGCTTCCTGAGAAGTTATATAAATATGAGATAGGCATTGAAAAGTGTGTAGGATTTCAGCCTTTGAGAAGAAGGTAAGGGACTGACAGCAAAGACAGCAGCAAGAGAGACTTATGCAACATGATATGTTTGAGGAACTTTATGCAGTTTCTATGGTTATATAGGAAGTAAGGAGAGTCAGCCTGAGATGATGCTGGAGGTAATGCAATGGCAGGCAGTGCACGCCATGCCATTGTTTTTTATTTAATCACTTATTCTTTAATATCTTTAACTACTCCAGGCACTTCTGTTTATCCTGAGAGAAATGAGTCATTTAATAGGTTTAAGCAGGGAAAGAATGTGTTTTAGATTTCTTGGTGGCAGCATAGATAACAGGTTCAATGAAGGTAGGACTGGAGGGAGAAAGCCCTGGAGAGGATGATTGTTAACATCCAGGTGAGAATTAATGAGCAGCTGATAAGCCAAACAAGAGATAGAGTGGGAATGGGGAAGAGAAAATATATCTGGAAAATATTGGGTTGACTAAAAGTCTGTTTAGTTATTTTCCATAAAGTAAAATATACATTTTTTCATTTTCATCAATAACTTTGTTGATTTGGACATTTTGAGTATGTTGGTTATCTCCTGCTATTGACTTCTAGTGGGTAGAGGCCAGGGCTGCTGCTGAATATCTTCCCATGCATAAGACAGCCCACAGCAAAGAATTATTTGGCCAAAAATGTCAGTAGTCCCAAGAAAAGTTGCAAATGACCTTTGACACATTCCATCAGTCACAGCACCTTCTCATACACTGCACAAATCTTTGTTTGTGTTTCAGTTGCCATCTTATTGAAAAAAAAAAGCTAAATGAATTTTTTGGCCAACCCAATCTGAAGGATATAGCCTTTATAGGACTTGAAAACCGCTATGATGTGAGAATAAAGGGGAGAAAGAGAGAAGTTTCCAAGATGACTCCTAGGTATCTGGCTTAGGATATTGTGTAGGCATTATAATTTATTAACATAAAAATTCCAGGAAGAATGTATTTAAGAGGAAAGGGAGTTACCTCTGTAAAGTTTTGAATATGTACTTTATTTAAGTCATTTATTTTCACTTAACACATGTTTATTAAATACATGGGGGCTCCCCCCCCCCCACTCACAACTGGAAGCATCCTCTGGAGGGTGGGCCTTTTGTAGTAGTGACCTACAAAAGGTCACTGTTGTAGGTCACTACTGTTGTAGGCCACTACTACAAAAGGCCCTGCTAGGGCATGGAGTGCACTTCCCCTGCTAGGTCACTGTTCTAGGAACCCACTTGTATCAGTGTACCAGCCGGAGCTGTTGTGAAGGGCTGTGTTCAGCTTCAGTGAATTTTTTTGTAATACTCTTTCAGTGCATTTGCCCATTTCATGATGGGTGATTTACCAGTGCACCTGGCCATGCTGCTCTGAGTGTTCAGCAGTTTTTGACCAAAAATGGCATGACCCTGGTGCCCTACCCTCCCTATTTACCTGATCTTACTCTGAGTGACTTTTTTTTGTTTCCCTGGGTGAAAAAAGTCCTCAGAGGAAAATGTTTTGCTGATGTGAAAGAGATGAAACACAAACAGCAGATGCACTAAAATGTGTCAGAACTGACAAGTTCAAAAACTGTTTTGAGCAGTGGAAAAACTGTCTTGATAGGTGTATTGTATCAGATGGAGAGTACTTTGAAGGTGATTAAAGTTTAAACACATAAGACTAAATACATGATATTTTATAAATAAATATTTTGGCACTGTGCTAGGCTCTGAGTACAGAAGTAGACTTATGGCTTTTACATCTTTGGATTGCAACTTTGTGGTAAGTGTTACAAAGTTCTAAATCAGTGTGTAGTGAAGGACTTCTAACTAAAGGAGGCACTGGAGAGTTTTTCTGAAGTGACACGGAAGCTGAAGTATAAATGGCGAGTACAAGTTCTGATGAAGATGGCAGGTAGCAGCCTCTGGGCAGGAAGAACAGCATGGGCCAAGGTCATGTGGTAAGAGAAAGCGTGAATAGTCAACCTACTGAAGTAAAGCCAAGAGTGGTTGGAACACAGAAATTTTGATGGTGGGAGAGAGATTAGCTGAAGAGTGATTATGGTCTTCATTCTAAAATGCCAAAGAAGAGGAGAGGGTGATGAAGTTAGTGATGTGATCAGATTTGCTGTTTCAAAGGGTCATTCTGGCTGCTTTGTAGAGAACAGAAATCTGTGTGGTTGGGAGAGGCAAGGGGTTTAATGTATACCCCTTAGACTCATTAGTAGGCTACTGCAAAAGGGCAATTTCCCATTCTATAGACCCATGGAATTCTCCTTAAGAAAAAAATAATCTAAAAAATTGACCTGGAAATATAAAAAAGTTGTATAAGTCCTATGTTTAATGTACTTTAGTAAATCCATGACAGAGCAATGAGCAGAAGTTATCTCTGATTCCCAAATTCCTAAGCAAGACCAAATGTCTCTTTTGAAGCTGCACATTTTTACATGAAATGATTTGTATTAGATTACCTAAATGTAGTAAAGTATTTCTCTTGAATATACGTGTGCTTTAATTTTTTCCAAATATATTTGAAAGAATGTTATTCATAAATACTATCTGGTCATTTCAAACTATATTGTTCTAATTAAAGCTTTAGCTTGATCTAATGTTATGTCATTGTTAAAAATATAAGTATATTGAAAGGTTTTGGAAATAGAAACAAAGTATTAGCATTGTTATTGTGTTTCCTTTAGATGTGTTTCACACCAGCCAGTGTTAGCCTGTTTTAAACCGAGATTATTTAGCTTGTTGATTATTCTGGGTTTGACACATAGAATTGGTGATTGTATCCCTTCTTATGATGAAAACATAACTTTTCTACATGGTTCGTTTGAAGGAATGCTTGAAATATGGTAACCGTGTGAACTTCCAGTTGTGGAGACCAAGTGCCTTATGTATTTTGAACTCCCAGTCTTAGAATGTAGGCTTTTCCTCTCTGCCTACTGCATACTATGGCTCCATTTTAGTTTTGTGCAAATTTTATTTGGGGACAATATCTGCTCATATATAAAAGACTTGCATACACTTATAAAATTTAATACCTTTTTTGAAACAATCAGATTTTCTTTAGTAGATATTTTAAAATATTTTTCCTAATTAATTTTTATTGGGAATCAATATATACAAAATAGTTAATATTTGTAATTCACAAAACTAAACATTTTAAACAGAGTATGATCTTTAAGTTGCATATCAAATAGGCAGTCTGATTTGTAGCAAATACAAGAATATTAGGACATATGTTGAAGCCATGAAACCACATGCATAAGCGCATATAGTTCATATAAACAAAACCTCTACTGACTCAAGGCTTCACAGTTTTCTCAGAAAAGGAGTTAAACTCCAGAAAACACTGGAGTAAGAGGCAATCAGAACTCTGCCTAGGGATGAAGCAGAGACTATAAGTCGTCTTTAAAGAAGCAGTATAAATGGCACCTGGCCATGGGCTATTTCTTGCTGCCCATCTCCCTTCTTGAGGCTGAGTTAGTGACACTTCCACATTATTTTGAATTAATGCCTTTATTACACCTATCATATTGTATTTAATTAATAACCTGTATGCAAATTCCTTAAGGAAGAGACCATATTAACTTAATATCCCCAGTGCCTAGCACATAGTATGTACTCAAATATGTTTGATCTGCTAATATGTAAATTAGTACATAGGATAGAGGGCTGTGTCTATTTTTTTCACTGATGTATTCCCAGTGTTTAGAATAGTACCTAACACATAGTAAGTGCTTAATAGACATTTGCTCAATGAATCAAAAAATGAATAGAGGGATTTAAATCCTTCTAGTAAATGTCAGTATCACAGAAAGAAAATTTAGACAAGTTTGAATAGAAATTATTGTAATATTAGCTCTAAATTACAGAATGATCAAGTCACGGCCTCTGGACTATACCTTTGTTCCTCGAACATGGATCTTCCCTGCTGAATATACTCAATTCCAGAACTATCTGAAAGAATTGAAGAAAAAAAGAAAGCAGAAAACTTTCATAGTAAAACCAGCTAATGGTGCAATGGGTCATGGGTAGGTATTATTCACCTGCAATATATTTTAAAAAAATGGAGGTTGGGGAGACTCTGCGAGCATTCACTCATGCTTGAGAACTAATATGACAAGTATAATAAATAGGTTTCTAACTATTGCTTTTTTGGAACTAAATACTTAATAAGTTTTTTTACCCTGCCCTACAAGCTTTGGTAATTCAATTTAAAAATTAAATCAGTAGGTCGTGAGACTTTAATAGGAAACAACAGAATAGAAGGAAAAAAAGATATTTTCTATTTTTTAAATAAAAAATTTACATTCATAATAATTTTAGAGTAATCCTAAAGAATAAAATTCAGTGGATACCACTGAGCTAAATTGCCTTGGAGAAAGAAATGGGAAGGGAGTTACTTTTACATGTATCTTTGCTTTACAAATAAGTTTTTATCTTTATGTAGCCATGGTAATTGGTTGTAAATGAGAACACATCAAGCTAAAATACCAAGAACTAGACATGTTAGCTGAGAATAGATTATAGAAAAATATATTCCAGTTTGCTTTCGCTTATGTTAGTTTTCTGCAATGTACTTTTTTAAAAAAGTGGCTGAGTCTGATTTTAATAAAAACACGTCATTTTAATCTTTTGTTTAAAACATGGGGAAAAAGGTATTGGAAATGTAACTGCCAGGTAAATTGTTGTTCAACAAATTTCCCTTTAACTTGCAATTTTAATTTAATCAGACACTGTTTATAACTGTGGTTCAACAAATTTTTCTTTAACTTTCAATTATAATTTAATCACATTGTTTATAACTGTGGTTTAAAAATTTAAAAATTAAACCTGTAGTATTAGTGGGAATTAGTATTTTAGTTGCTTAATGTAAAGTTGGTTTGTTGTATACTAGTTTCAAAGGAAAATTTTGGATGGTGTAATTGAAGTTCACATTTTCTCAATTTTAATGTTGAAATTAATATTAAAATTTACATTTATATGTATTTACACTTACAGGTAAAACATTATGTGTAAGTATTAATCAGATTTGACAACAGTATAAAAACTAGCTGAAAAAGCATGCTGTTTTTACTGGGCTGCGAGGGCTTAGCTCATGTATTGGAGTGAATCAGTCAAGGACACCTCTGTCTTCTGTGGAATGTGTCCATTGCCTTGCCCATCTTTTGTTTGGTTGTCTTCTCCATTACTGTAAGTGGGGTATTGAAGAATCCAACTGTTATTGTTGGGCTGTCTCCTTTCAATTCTACTAGTTTTTGCTTTACATGTTTTGGAGCTCTGTTGTTAGGTGCTTATACATTTATAATTATTATATGTTATTGATGCATTGACTTTTTAAAAAATTTTATATACTTTTTTTGTCTTTGTAATAATTTTTATTTTAAAGTCTGTTTTGTTTGGTACTAGTATAGCCACTTCAGATTTCTTTTGGTTGCTCTTTGCATGAAATATCTTTTCCGTTTGTTCATGTTCAACCTATTTGAGACTTTAAAATGAATCTCTTGTAGACAGCATATAGTTGGACCATGTTTTTTTTAGTATATTCTGCCAAATCTTGCTTTTCAATAGGAGAGTTAATCTATTTTTACTTAAGTAATTACTGATAAGGAAAGACTTATTTCTGCCATTTTGCTATTTGTGTTCTGTATATTTTACATATATAGGTTTTATTCCTCAATACCTCTGTGTCTGCCTTCTTGTGTATTAAATAGTTTTCTAATATAACAATTTTATTTCCCACTTTTTACTATGAATTTTTTGATTTTTTAAATGGTTGTCCTGGGATTATAATTCACATCTCAATTTGTAGCAGTCTTGTTTGGATTAATATCAATTTAATTTCAGTAGTTAAAAAAAACTGCTCCTGTGTATCTCTGCCTCCTTTTATTGTCACAAATTACATCATGCACACTGTGTGCCCATTGACACAGATTTACAGTTACTGTTTTACACAGTCGTGTTTTAAATAACATAGGAGGAATGAGGCATTACAAACCTAACCTACACTAATAGTGACTTTTACATTTACCAGGAGTCACCTTTAGGGGTGATCTGTATTTGATTTGAGTTACTGTCTAGTGTCCTTTTGTTTCAACCCGAAGGATTTTCCTTAACGGTTCCTGTAGGCCAGGTGTCATAGCAACCAACTCTCTCAGCTGTTGTATATCTGGGAATGTCTTAATTTGTTCTTTAATTTTAGATAGTTTTGCCAGGTGTAGAATTCTTGGTTAATAGTTATTTTTTTTCTTTTCCTCTTAGCTCTCTGAATATGTTGTTTTCCTGTCTTTAGCCTATATTGTTTCTGTCATGATATCAGTTGTTTGTCTTATTAAGGATCCCTGGAACATGATAAATAATCTTAATCTTGCTACTTTCCAGACTCTTTGCTTTGGCTTTTGATAGTTTGATTATATGTCTCAGTGTGGATCTCTTTCAGTTTATCCTATTTGGAGTTCACTGAGCTTCTTGGATGGGTAGGCTATTATGTTTTTATGAATTGGGAAGTCTTCAGGCATTAATTCTTCAAATATTCTTCCTGCCCGTTTCTCCCTCTCTTGTTTTTTTGAGACTATTATGTGTGTGTTAGTATTCTTGATGGTATTCCTCGGAACTTTTAAACTGTTCAGTTTTCTTGTTGTTCCTCAGACTAGTTAATCTTGATTGACTGTCTTCAAGTTTTGTTTCTTTTCTTGCCTTCCTAAATCTTTTTAGCTCCCTAATGAAATTGTTGTTTTGTTATTGTGCTTTTCAACTTCAGAGTTTCTGTTTGGATTCTCTCTCCCACCCTCTAAAAATAATTTCTATTTGTATTAACATTCTCAGTTTGGTGATATGACATTCTCATGGTTTCCTTTAGCTTTTAACAGATTTAAAATAGTAGGTTTAAATAGTTGATTGTTCAGTAAAATCATTGTCTGGGTTTCCTTATGAACTGTTTCTATTAATTGATAACTTTCCCGTTTGGGGTGATACTTTCTTTTTTCTTTGTATGACTCATATTTTTTTTGTTGAAAACTGAACATTTTGAATATTATAATGTAGCAAATCTGGAAATCAGCTTCTCTCCCTGCTGTAGGATATTTTTGTCACTGTTCATGATTATAGTTATTTGTTTAGTAGCTTTCTGAAATAATTTTGTAAAGTTTGCATTTTTTGTTGTACATGGCCACTGAAGTTCCTGTACTCTCAGGTCAGTAGTCAGCTACTAATTTGATAGAGATTTTCTTAAACACTTTGAACGTACCCCTCAATACAGATTGCCCAGTCTTTTCAGATGGGCCGTGTGTGTGTTAGTACCGGAACATGCCTTCTGTACTCAACTAGGCAATTTATGACTTTACATTAGCCTCTACTTCCTACTTGTGGAGAGCCTGATGGTTAGCCAGAGATAAGAGCTTTGGGCCTTCCAGGTATTTTCTGAGCCTTTTGGATTCCTAGAAATATGCCAGAACTTTTCAAAGCCCCTATTTCCCAAAGATTCATTCTTTTCTCCCAATCTTTTCTCCCAATCTTTTCTCCCAATATTTTTAGTTGATCTGTTGTTTTCCCCAATGGTCATTTTGTTGTCCTAGAGAGCAGGGACTAATACATTTGTCTTTTAAGTATTCTCCATAATTGCCTCCCCAAGTAGCTGCCTCAGCCCTGAGAGACTTCCCAGTTAGGCAAGGTAAAAAAGCAAGTACTTAGAGGTCCTGCAGAAGAGCCACCACACAGGCCTAAAAAAAGAGACAAGCATAAGAATAAGGTCCAGTCTGCTCCCCCTAGAACCAGTACCTATACTGGAAACATGGTTTGTTATGCGAGGCCACTGCTGAACGGGGGAGGTGGGGTTTGGGGGGTGGTACCAGAGTAAGTTAAAACACCAGAAAGCTGTTTTACATAGATTCAGCTGCTTTTTTTTGTCTTTGTTGTTATAATCTTTTATAACCTTTTATTTTTCAGAATTCCAGAAAAGTTGATTCTGATAATTTTTTTTTTTTAGTGGTCACTGCTTTTTGTGAAGGGACAGAATTTGGAGTTACTCGCTCCGCCATTTTCCTCTTGAGTATTATCTGTTAACTTTGTAAACATCTTGACTCCATATCACATTGTTCTTCTGATTTTTTTCTTTAAACTTAGGATTTCTTTGATAAGAAATGGTGACAAACTGCCATCTCAGGATCATCTCATTGTTCAAGAATACATTGACAAGCCTTTCCTAATGGAAGGTTACAAGTTTGATTTACGAATTTATATTCTGGTAACATCATGTGATCCACTAAAAATATTTCTGTACCACGACGGACTAGTGCGCATGGGAACAGAGAAGTACATCCCACCTAATGAGTCCAATTTGGTAAGTGATACCAGACATAATGTATGATTTTACTCATATGTTCAACATGTACTTTTTTTAAAAAAGATTTTATTTATTTACCTTTAGAGACGGGGAAGGGAAGGAGAAAGAGAGAGAAATATCAATGTGTGGTTGCCTCTCATGTGCCCCGTACTGGGGACCTGGCCCACAACCCAGGCATGTGCCCTCACTGGGAATTGAACAATGACCCTTTGGTTCGCAGCCCGCACTCAACCCACTGAGCTACACCAGCCAGGGCAACATGTACTTTTTAAAGCATCCATTCCATTGTCTAAAGGTTATATGAATGCAAGTGCCTCTTCTAATTTTTTATAGACTGGAGCAGTGACTTGCAACAGGTATGCTGCAAGAATTTTTAAAACATGCAATACCTGACTATTTAGTCAGTGGCCTTGACCTCTTTTCTCTTAAATTGTTAAATAGAAAAAATGACAACAGCAATAGCCTTCTGGTGTGAATGAATCGAAATTATACCTATTTTTTGACAGATTATAAAAAATATATTTTTTTGGTGTGCTGCAGAATTTTAGTAATTAGTTTGTTTATGTGTGTCATGAGATGAAAAAGGTTGAAAATTGCCAGTCGAGAAGAATTATGTACACAAACAGGGGTAGTTCTAATTTATAGACAGCTTTGTGTAAATTAGAATAAAAAACGGTGTTTGCTTCAGTAAGGCTAATCAGGAAAAGTCACCTCCTCCGTATGGTAAGCACATGGATGGATTTCAAAGCATGTATATATATGCAGTGGCCCTGGATAGAAATGATTTTTGTAGAAATGTAAGTAAACAAATAAAGTGCTATGGAGTTGAGGGTAATAGGGATAGCTTGTGTTCACCTCCTCACGGAGGAGGCGGTATGTGAGCAGTGTTTACCCCTTTGTATAAAAGGTGTGGTTTAAACATACAGAATGTGGGAGAAAGTATATGAAACAAAAAGCAAAAGTTATCAGAGAGTAGAGTTATTTATTTTTGTTGGAACAAAAGAGAAGATTGCAAATTTACATTGACAAAATGTAAAGTAGAGATGTAAATTTTCTGTTTCAGTGTGTTTTTTAAGTATATTAAAGGGAGCTTTTGTAGATATTTTTCCATTAAGATTTCTTTTGTGCTACCATAAGGTAGTGATGAATACCTGTCATTTATAGCTTATGATGATCAAACTATAATTTATTATCATACTTTATTATGAAGTCATAAACTATAATTTATACTTTATGGGAGATAATCTATAATTTATTTTCTGTATTTTTGATTTATTATTAACTAAAAGTAAAATTTGAATAACTTCTGACCCTGTTTTTAGATTTACTGATTATAGCAAATATTACAAATACCCTAATTATTGTCTTCTTTTTTGTCAAAGGCCGGGCTATTGTTTTTCTTCAATATTATACACATAATTAACTCTATTAAGAGTTGATATTTTCAAAATTAACTGATGACTGATCATAAATATTACTATGTGCATGAAGTGAAAAATGTTGACAACATTTTTCCTGGGAAAGGAATTGTAAGGGAACTATCACAGTTTTCACAGGGTAGGAAGATAAAAGAAAGAATCATCTCTTTGAGGGTCATAGGTGTGGATACAGCCAATCACCAAGTAATGTTTGGATTGTACTGTGTTCTAGTCATTGTGCTGCTGGTTTTGGGAAAACAGTGACCAGGAAGGATTAGTATTGTCCTCACAGGAGAAATAGTCTGGTGGGAAGGGAGAAAATAAAACGAGCAATTATAATATCCAGGTTAAGTGTAATGGTCTAAGAGACCGAGGGTGCTATGGCAGTGAACAGCAGGGACATCTAACCCGGATGGAGATGAAGGTTAGAGATGAGTTTGTAAAGTGTAATCTGAATGAAGAGAGGTTAGCCAGGTTGGGAGTGGGTGCAGCTCTAGGCAGAAGAATGGCCCAGAGGTAAAGGAGAGGATGATGTGTCTGGAGAAGCAGACATATTCAGTACAGACCAAGAAGGGATAGGTATTATTACATGAGGATGGAGAGTCCTGGAGGCCAGATCATTCAGGGCTTGTAGGTCATGTCTAGCATTTTGAAGCTTAACCTCAGAAGAAGAGAAACACTGACAGATTTTAAAGAAGGGAAAGAGGAATGAGATTTGTATCTTAAAAAAGTCACCAGGTGTATGGCATGGGGAATGTAAGATGGAGGTGGGTGGATGGGAGAGACTAGAGTAAGGGAGACAAGAAGGTATATTTTTTTAAAGAAGGTGTATGCTAATCTAACCACATCTGAGAGGAAAGATGACTTAATTTAAAGTAATAGTAATAGGGCTGAGCTAGGAATAATTTCATCGATTTAAGATGTATTTATGATAGCATGGATAACATTGATATAATATACTCACAGGTTAGATTTGTAGGATGAGGGAAAGGGAGAGAGATTAAGGATAAAACTGAAGATTATTGGCATGGGCAGTTGTATAGATGGGATATTTTCAGGGTGCTAGGGAATACAGGATTCATTAAAGGTTTTGCAGAAAGCTGATGTTTGGTTTGATATGCCTGTGTGACTTTTGAGTGGTCTTACTATAAGCATTTGGATATACACTGCAGGTCCGAAGTTCAGATGAGACAGCTGAGCTACAAGCCTATTTGGGATTTGTCAGCTCATAGATTATAATTAAGTAATCCGAGTGGGTAAGAATGGATTACGTACATGTAAACAGATAAGGTTTTGAGAGGAATGAGCTAGAGAAGACACAGGAAGGATTAAGACTTGGAAGCTCACTTAGGTGATAAGGTGATTTATTCTAGTATTTTAAGTTGTATGTGTATGATCTGCTTAAGGACACTGGGCTTGGAAATCATAACGAAAGATCGGCAGTCAGGAAATGCGGCTTCTAGGTTTCACTTTGCCATGAGATCTTGAATGACGTAATATCCTGGCTTTGGTTTTTCATGTATAAAAAAATGATGAACATCGGTGTTCCTGATACTTGTATATCTCTAAAATTTCATGATAAAATTTCTAGATTAAGATATAAAAAATAAAAAACTGACATACGAAATTTTATTTAAAGTGAGAAGATCACTTACCTTATTAAAAGGTAAGTTTAAAAAGTCTAGAAAAAATAAACCAAATGCTTTTACTGTTTTAGATGGCAGAGTGCTATATATTTTTCCTTCCATTTTCATAGCTGCCATCACCTCTCATTAAGGCAAACATCCAAATGGCAGTGAACTGTTTAGAAGGGGATTTCTGTTGAGATAGATGGGTAACTGTGAATGTTCCATACCTACTTACAAAGATAATGTTTAAGAAAAATGCAAAGTGCTATTTCTTAGTTTTTTTTTGCTGGGATAGCTAGACTTTTTTTTACTGTTATTATTTATTTTAAGAAATTCCTGCCAAATGAAGAAAGAGCTTCTCAAAAAATTAGTTTCCAACCTTTTTTTAAATGAAAAAAATTATTTGTATTTTGGAAAGTAGGAAATACTTTGATTTAAAAAAATCAAGTACTTAAAAGTAGACTAGAATAAGGTTTATGTTCTTTGTTTTAAATATAACTTAATTTAAAGCTTTTTTTAAGTTTCATGAGGGTGGGGGCTGTGTCTGTCTTGTTCATCTTTGTATCCACAGTGTACAATACAAATTTCTGCTATAGTAGGGGCTCCTTAAATATTGTTTAATAGAATGAGAAAATAAATTCTTAATAGTGGTGGGCACATGGGTTGAGGAGTTCCGCATATTTGCTTCTAAGATTTTAAGACTGTAGACCAAAGTAACGGCAGTGAAAAAATTTGATATGAATGCACTTGGTCATTAACAAACCAAAATAATAACCATGTGCATGAAGCATATATTCGTTGTGATACAACATTGCTATCTAAAGTAATCTCTAGGAGTAGGGTCATGAAGGTGGGATTTAGAGACTTGATGAATGTTTATGCAAGAGTGATAGGGAGCCGCTAGGTGTGTATTAATGGACAGTTATGAGAAGTTTTAAATTTTGGGTTCTTTCTCTAGTTTGAGAAGCAGTATCAGCAAACATAGGGTATGAAGAGACTAAGACATGAAGCACGATAAATGCAGCGATGATCATTTAGATTCTGTGCACTGTTGTGTGGTACGCAGCGCTGTCGGCTGACTCTACATGCACTCTGTCTTGTAATGAGTTAAGGGGGCTTCCCTGCAGTGTGGGAGGGCACAGGCTGTGTTTGGTACTCTGCCCTCTTGGTTCATGCCGCTTACTGGAGCTTTCATTTGTTATTTTTCTTTGAAGAGACATAGAATGTTCTCTCAGAAATTTTTTTCCCAAACAAATTTGGGTGAAAACTCTAAGTGACCAAAAACATTAAAAACAAAAACAAATGGAATACTATGCAGCAGAGAGAAAGAAGGAGCTCCTACCCTTGGTGACAACATGGATGGAACTGGAGAGCTTTAAGCAAAGTGAAATAAGCCAGGCAGTGAAAGACAAATACCATATGATCTCACCTTTAACTGGAACATAATTAACAAAAGAAAAAAAATTAAGGAAAATATAACCAGAGACATAGAAATTAAGAACAATTTGACAGTAACCAGAGGGGAGGTGGGAGGGGGTAATGAGGGGAAGGGTTTTCAGGAACTACTATAAAGGGCACATGGACAAAACCTGGGAGTAGGTGGATGGGAGCAAGGGGGGAGGGGGGTTTGGCTGGGGTGGGGAGAGTGGTGGGGAGAAAATGCAGGCAATTGTAATTGAACAACAATAAAATATTTTAAAAAATGAACAAAAACAAAACATTTTTCTTGTTTAGCAATATATAGTTTCACATTTTTAATTACTTTATGTATTCTTATTATTTGAATACTTTTTATGGCAGGTATATGACTACATTGACAGTCTTTTTAAGGGAAATGTGCCATTCCATTTAATGTGGTAATTGTCTAAGTAATCATGGAATTGTCAATCTGTATATTTTAAATTTTAAAATCATCTTTCATCTTTAGATGCTTTCTTTTTTGTGACATCTCATGTCCCAGAGTCTCACAGGCGATAATGTTGGGTCTTCCTCATTGCAGACCCAGTTGTACATGCACCTGACCAACTACTCTGTGAACAAGCACAACGAGCGTTTTGAAAGGGACGAAACTGAAAACAAAGGCAGCAAACGCTCCATCAAATGGTTCACAGAATTCCTGCAAGCAAACCAATATGATGTTACTAAGTTTTGGAGTGACATTTCAGTAAGAGTTTACCATTCCACAATTATAACTGTCTTTCCTCAGATTATCTTAAGATCACCAAGCATTTTAAATAAAGAGCAGATTACCTTAGATTGGGCTGCTAAAGTGTGTTTTCATGAAGGAGACAGAATTTGTGATGGACCTTGACAGATATGTAGTATTTTCACTGCTAGGGATGGGAAAGAGGGAATTCTAGCCGGAGGTGAAAGCACAAGTAAGGACATCGAGATGTGAGGGTAGTGGTGAGTGGTCCAGGCTGCATGTTTGGGATTTGTGGGAGATGCACTGGGACCTATGGCTGAAAAGATATGTAGAGGCTAACTTTTAGATCTGAAAATCAAAGCTTAACTTCTAGGTTTTTAAAAATTATTTATTTATTTTTAGAGAGAGGGGAAGGGAAGGAGAAAGAGAGGGAGAGAAACATCAATGTGTGGTTGCCTCTCTGGCGCCTGGCCCGAAACCCAGGCATGTGCCCTGACTGGGAATCAAATTAACTTCCAGTTTTTAAAGGAGGAGAATAATAAGGCCAAGGACTATGAGTTCAAAAGATAAACCTGAAAAAGCATAGGATGGGTTAGAGTGAAGAGCAAGAGTAGGTAGAAGAGGCACTTTGGAGTAGTTTAAGTGAAAAGAATCGTTTAAATTGAACACAGTGAAGTAAACATTGAGATTAATTGAGTTCAGAATGGGGGAGGTGTTCAGAGGTTCTTCTGCAGTTTTAAGAAGTAATTATAGGGTGATTGGGTGTGACATCTGAAATAGAATGGGAGGGGATTTATTTTTGAGAAGATGTGGAGCTTTTTGCAAACAAGGGGGGAAAAGTTTATTTATTTATTCATTCATTCATTCATTTATTCAGTAAAAATTTGTTGAACCCATAAGATAAGCCTGTCTCTGGCTAATAATTTGAAGATTTATAAGATACTCAAAAAACCTAGAGTTTGACAGGAACAGCCAGCATGGAAATTGTTGAAATGCAGTGTAGCAAGTACAACGGCAGAGGCATGCGTTGGGTTCAGTGGGGATGTAAAGGAGGACTGCTTACAGTAGCATTGGGCAGGACTTCTTGGAGGCATTGACTTGTGAACTAAGTTTTGAAAAGTCCATGAGGCTAAGATCATGAGTTTTACTTTAGATATGTTGAACTTGAAATGCTGCCTCAGGTAGAGAGATCCAGCAGACAGTCAGAAGTGTATGTTTGTGGTGCAATTCATATTTAAAGCAGTGGCCGTGAATGAAATCCCAAATGGCAAAGAGAAGAAAGAGAAAGCTGTGAGAAGATGACCTTGGTGAAACAGACCCTTTATTAATCCCAGCAGAAGTATGAAAATCATCTTCAAAGTTAGAAGACTGTATCTGTTGAAAACACAATGTGATTAGGGCTATATAATTTGATTTGACTTTCCTTTGGAAACAAATAATATATAATTTAAGTAAATCCATCATGGAAAATGGACATGAAAGTTCATAGGTAGTTGAATTTGGTCTCTTGAGAAAATCAGAAAAATCAGCATCAGTATATTTATCTTTTTGTTGATTGTTTTGTTGGTTGATGTTTTTTACTCCTTATTTTTTCATAGAATGTAAACAGAATGTAAATCCAAAGTTCTTAGATATCAGACAAAAAAGAATGAAGTAGTCTCCGCATGGAAGCCAATAGGGCAGGGGTATCAAACTCATTTTCACTGGGAGTCACATCAGTTCATGCACTGGCAGTACTTTCATCTCATGTAAACTTTGTGAACTGTGAAATCATCACTGCACAAAGATACCCAGCTCTCCTATGCTAGGCACTGTTGTGGGCACTGGGAATGGGGTTGTAATAAAACAGACAAGGATGCTGTTCTAACAAAACAAAAAAAAGATCAGTGGTTCTATGCTGGTAGTCATGTGGTAAGGGGTGGTAGGTGGCCATTTTTGACTCCAGGGTCAGGGATAGGAATATCAAGGATTCAGACAAGGGAATATCGGTGGGAGAGTGTTCCAGGACGAGGGAACCATTACTACAAGGAGCCCAGAGAAGACAAGCATGGCTCGAGCTTGCAGGGAAGGGAAAGAGCTGGGTGAGCTGAACTCAGAGCAGTGGTGGGGGCTTGATGCCATAGGGCCAGTCTGTAAGTCCAGGCCTCATTGCCACTTGTGTAAATGAGAAAGAAGGAAGGCATTTTCACCTTTTAAAAACAATCTACACTTGCAGGAGTTGGTTGTTAAGACCCTGATTGTGGCAGAACCTCATGTCCTGCATGCGTATCGGATGTGCCGGCCCGGTCAGCCTCCGGGAAGTGACAGTGTCTGCTTCGAGGTCCTAGGATTTGATATTTTGTTGGACAGAAAACTAAAGCCATGGCTTCTGGAGGTAAGACATTTTTTTTAAAAAGAAAGAGACGTTACCACTGTTCTTGTGTATTAAAAGAAATGTTTTTAAAATGTGTATTTGGTACAGTTGCCTCATTAACTGAGCAGAAAGAGGCATGAAGGCAGTATGTGGGAGGAAGAAAATGAAAATTCATGGGGTAGAACAGCTCTAAGAAAGGATCAATGTATGTTTGATATTATTTTTCCCAAATTAGCATTGAATTTCTAGGCCAGAAATTTCAAATTTATGTGTGGATCTGCTTTTACTGATTTTTAATCTACTTTCTCCAATACTTTCTCAGCCTCACAGCTTCTGCCACCTCATGACTTGTGGATGTTGCCTTTCCCCTCTCCCTACGGGTGCCTGGCCTTCACACTCTCCAAGGGAGAGGCTCCCCTGGGCTCATTCATCAGTATTTACTACCTAGCACCCCAGTGGCATGACGTCTCCCCTGTGGCCATGCTCTGTCCTGGGGGCTCCTCTTGTGTCCAGCCTGTCCACCATGTGCCTTTGGGTTTGCTGCCAGTTCCTGATATGGGCAGAGTCATCATTATTTTCCTTTTATTGATAAAAGGTCGAGCAACACATGGAAAATATAGAATAATATAAAGGAAAAAATAAGAATGATCTCTTTTTAAGATTTTGGTGCCTTTTCTTCCATTCTTATTTATATTCAGAATGTATCCAGGAGACACCTTAGAAGTCATGTGGCCCCACTCAGCAGTACCCTGATCTGGGGTCGTAGAGTTCATGGCCATGAAATACCATGTTTAGGAAAATAGCGCATATCGAAACACTTAGCATTTACCAGACTAGTTATATTTTTAAGGAACATATTGCTATAGAAGATATAATCAACAATTACCTTTCATTTTAAGTTGATTATCTCTTATTTTTGTTAATGATTTAAAAGTTGACAGTTACATCTTTAATATAATATCAAGTTTTGCAAAAGCAAATTGAATGAGTAATAGTTGAGATCAAAACATTCAAAATCTATTTTTAGGAAAGAACACTTTCAGTGTGGGGGTCAATGGTTTTGTGAGGGTTTTGAATCTACTATGAGGAAATGATGTGTATATTTCCAATCAAGTACAGTTCTGTCAGGTGTTCAAATTTTCCTCCTGCTGGGATCCTGCAAATAAGACAAATGGGAGGCACTTTGCTTACCCTTTAGCTTCCTCCATCAGGTATCAAAGCATTTGGCTGCACTCAGGGGCCCTTCACTTCACTAAGGCCTGACTGACACTGTCTTCCTTAGGTTTATTATGTTGTCTGCAGTCATCCTTTCCTGCTCTCGGCAGTATCTTTTTTCTACCCCTGCTGCTTATCTTGTATGCTTGATGGGTGGGGAAGAAATGAAGGTGCATGCGTGAGTTGGAACTGAAAGGGTAGGGAACTGAAGGGAATGATGACTTTATAGAAATTTAATAACCTGTTTTTAAAAGCAGGTGGTGGCCTAACTGGAGCGTTAGCTTGGTAAATCAGAATTGACTGAATGGTTGACTTCTCTTTTTTGTTTTAAAGGCTCAAAATACCATTGTTTGCATTAATGTTTCTTCATACTTTATTCTCTCCTTCATCATTTCCACATCTCTAAGAACCATTAAAAAATTCCATAATAACCAACTTTCAGACAGCATTGTTTGCATAGACATATTTTAATTTTCTAGTCATTTTCATCATTTCTGGATCAATCAGAGCCATTAAAAATACACAATAGCCAACAGCTGTGGTTAATGAACATTTATTATATTAAAACAGTGAAAAGAATTTTATGTAGATTTTGCTGCTTTGTATTTTCTCCCAGCTGCTATTGTTGCAATTCTAGTATGCTGTTAAAAACCTTTTGGCGCCATCCAGTGGAGTGAGGTAGAAAGTACTTCTGAGAACGTGATAACTTCTTTCACTGGAATAAGTGCCAGTTACTAATTGTAGTGACAAATTGCAGAAATTTCAAGCATAGAACACATTTTTAGGGATAAACATGGAAATTGGGTGGAGTATCAGTATACTTCTAATACTTTAAGTATCCTTTTTTTAGCAATTTGAATTTTTAAAAAATCCTCACTCGAGGATGACATGTTTACTGATTTTTAGAAAGGGTGGCAGGGGGAGAGAGAGACACAGACAGATTGATTTGTTGAATTTATTGATTGCTTCTTGTATGTGCCCTGACCAGAGATCAAACTCACAAGCTTGGCATAGCTGATGCCACTCTAACCAACTGAACTACCTGGCCAGAGCTGTAAATATCTTGAAAATAAATGATTAAAAGTTGGCCTTTTAAAATTATGAGCACTTTATTAAAAACACTTTTTAAAAATCTTCACCCAAAGATATGTTTTTTATTGACTTAGAGAGAAGGGGTCGGGGGAGGAGAAGTGGAGAAAGAGAGAGAGCAAGAGAGAGAGAGAGAGAGAGATTGCTTCCCATACATGCATCTACTAGGAATTGAACTTGCATCCTTTTGGTATATGAGACAACACTCCAACCAACTGAACCACCCAGCCAGGGCTAAAGTATCCTTGAATTACTTTCAATAAGTGATTGTGCCAGGTGGTGGAAATATAAGAAGAATAAAGACAAAATATGTGCTGGTCTTTTAGGGACTCGGATTTTGTGTTTTATAGTAAGAATTGTGGGTATGAATATGAAACAGGGTACCAGCACAAAGAGTACAGTGATTACTTTCTCTTTGTACATGTGTGTACGTAAGAGTTAAAGAAATCTTTACAGAGGCGGCAACAACTGAGCATGGTGTTTAAGGCTTTGGAAAGTGGGATAGGGGCTTGGGGCCTAGAGAAATGGGGGTGGGGTCAGGGGAAGTTACTGGGCAGAAGGAACGACACTAATTTAGGAGCACAGACTCTATTGTGGATTCTTTTTTATGTGCGTGAAATGTTTGTGCTTATTTTGATAATACAGCAATGATTTAAATGGTTAATAAATAACATTTATTACTTTAATTTGCTTTCTAACAATTTTCATTTTTGCATGTATTTACAAGCTGCCGAGTTTTAAGACTATAACATCTGCTAGGGTTTGTCTGTTTTAGAAGTGGGGTAGGCAATGTGAATTAAAGAAGCAGTCAACATTACAGAGCAAAGTTTTGGCTGTATGGAGCCTTAATTTTCAGAGTTTCTTCTGTCAGCCATTTGTGGTTCTTTTATTGTTTCTCTACCTCTGTCATAAAACTTTAAAAATATCCAAAATTTTAATTGAAAAAAGTTTTTCTACCTTCTCACATATTAGTATAATTGGGTATATTTCTTCATAGACCAATTTTTTTTATGTGATAAAAGAAACTTTATCACATAAAAGGGGGAAAATTTGCAATACACAAGACAGGGGTCTGAGATTGTGTGGTACCAAATGTCGTTACCATCCGGGGTGAGGGATATGCCTGCCAGAACTCCAGGCTGCAGTTTTATAATGAACACCTAAGGACTCTGTACAGATGCATAACATTTCAGTAAGCCACTTAATCATCAGTTCCTAAATATCTGGTTTATTTTATAATCCTGTTACATGTAATAGCAGAAGTACCATTAATTGTATTTCAAATTCCAGAGATTTGAGTCACTATGGAATGGTTGAAACTTTTTTTCATTTAAAATACATTACCCTTTGTCTGCACTTGTAAGAGATAATACTTACAGCTTTGAAGTAGCACATTAATAAACTCCCTTTCTCAAATTTACCTGGAATAAATGGATGTTCTTGCAATTATCAAGCTACTCCCTTCCCTGAAGAGCAGAGCACACAGACAGGAATATGTTAATCACTTTCTAAATCAGAAATTGGCAAAGGAATAATTCAGTGTGGCCTATCTCTATAAAAGCACAGTTTGGCACATCTCTATAAAAAGACTATCATGTACCCATCAAAATGATGGCATGAAAGATTTTCATGATACATTGTTAAGAGACAAACTTGGACTGTAAAATTAGTAGAGATAACATAGACATGTGGAGAAGGTAAAATGAATATTATAAATATGTATGTGTAGCAAAGATCTGGAATATCTTTTATTAGATGGTTAACAATACACTAGGTAGTCAGATTGCAGGTAATCTTTTTGTTGTTTGTTTAACTCCTGTTTAGTACTAATTTTTCGTCAGTGATCCTGGGCCACATTCCTAATTAGAGGCATTTGTGTTCCTGGATGATTTTTTAAGTACAATATGGTATTTCTTTCAGCTGCCAGTTGTAAAATGCATGCCCTCGGTTATCTTGTCTCTTGTGATGGATTTGTGTAAGAGTACCCTCATCTATGACCAGTAGCATATATGTTTTTAGATAGCCTGTGGAGTTACGTGGTGGCCATGACACTGAGCTGCTGAACTCAGCAGTGTTCTAACCAACCAACTTGAGTAAGGAATTTCCTTAAACACTTGCTATTCCAGTTACATTTTCATAACAACAACAAGAAAACCCAACAACAACAAAGACAAAAACAAAACTCCAGCTCTTGAAGTGGTAGTGTATTGTGTAAAGGATTTCTGGGTATATAGAGTTACTTTTTATTTTTTGTCTTAATGAAATCCTGGCAATGATGTCAGAAATGATGTAGAACAACCACAAATGGCTCATTTATTCTGAGGAGTCCTTATACAGTTAGAAAAGCTCATAGAGTTTAGTCTGCAGCTGCTCTTGGTGGTATCTGCTGAGTAATATATATAGTCAGTGCCTTTGAAAATGAAAATTGATGAATCTTGTTTGATCCAGGTAAAAGAAACAAACTTTGTTTTTTTTTTTAGGCAGCAATAGATGAATTTATCCAGAAAATTGAGGCAGTGAAAAGAGGGCACTGATAGTTTCTATATGCTAAATGCATGCATGCATATAATTATTACACTATTGGTAACATACATATTATCTTCATTACATTATTATTATTATACAGGATGTGTCACTTTAACTTCTCTACACTCAAAACTTAGAGGGCATGGGTGAATGGGTTGGAGAGAGTGGAGAGGCGGGAGAGGGCAGGTTGGCTAAGTGAAGATCTGGAGCCAAGGCAGCAGGGGGAAGGGGACTGTGACGACAGTTCCTTGCAGCAGCCTGATGTAGGGAGATGGCGAAGAGAGGTGTGGTGTTAGTAACCAGGCCATCTACCACGTAGAGCTTTGAGATGGATTCTAGACTCCTTCTGCTGGTTGGGGGTCCCATAGTAGATTAACAAATACAGTCTCAGGCTTCTGGTCAAGATGGAGGCATAGGTAAACACACCTCAACTCCCTGAAAACCATAGCAAAAATTACAACTAAAATACAAAACGACTTTCACCCAGAATCATCTGAAAATCAAGCTGTATGGAAACCCTACAACCAAGGAATTAAAGAAGCAACATTAATCCTGATGGTAGGAGGAGGAGAGATGCAGAGACACCAAGATGTGGAATGAGCAGTCCCATGCCTACATGTGGTGGATACAAATTGGGAGGGATACTGCGGGAGTGAGGGATCCCAGCCCCACACCCTACTGCCCAGTCCAGGGTTCCAGTGCCAGGAAGATAAGTTCCCATAACTTCCAGCTGTGAAAACCAGTGGGGTTTGGGGCAGAAGAAGGAATTGCAGGATTCTCAGGTGTCTCTTCCTAAAGGGTCTGAAATGGACTTAGGAATTATGCAGACTCACTCCCTCCGGGCTCCAGCACTGGGGAAGCAGGTGGAAAGGCACCAGTGGCATATGGGGAGAAACTAAAGTGTCTTATAATCAGGGTGAATGTCACACACAGCCACAGAGCATTGATACCACATCTGAGATTCTATCAACCTGGTTCACACGGGTTGTCCCACCCTGGCAATTATGTAAGGCCCTGTGCCATCTAACTTACTGGTGTGCAGTTTTATTCTTATCTTATTCTTAGGGATTTTATGCTGCAACTTACTCTACAATAGGCCACACTACTAAGACAGGGAGTCAAAGCAGCTCTATCTAATACATGGAAACAAACAGAGGAAGGTTGCCAAATGACACAAAGAAATATGACCCAAATGAAAGAACAGAGCAAAACTCCCCCCACCCCCCCCCAAAAAAAAAAAAAAAACTAAACAAAATGGAGATAAGCCATCTGTCAGATGCAGAGTTCAAAACACAGGTTATCAGGATGCTCAAGGAACTCATTGGGAACTTCAACAGCATAAAAAAGACCCAGGCAGAAATGAAAGTCACACTAAGTGAAATAAAGAAAAAAAGTACAGGGAATCAGCAGAGGAGTGGATGAAGCTGAGAATGAAATCAATGATTTGGAGTGGAAGGAGTTAAAAACACTCAATTAGAACAGCAAAAAGAAAAAAGATTTAAAAAAATGAGGATAGGCTAGGGTGTCTCTGGGACAACTTCAAATATCCAACTTTTAAATCACAGGGGTGCTGAAAGGAGAAGAGAATGAGCAAGAAATTGAAAACTTACCTGAAAAAATAATGAAAAAGACTTCCTTTATTTGGTGAAGGAAATAGACATACAAGTCCAGGAAGCACAGAGAGTCCCAAACAAGATGGACCCAAAGAGGATCACACCAAGCACATCATAATTAAAATGCCAAAGGTTAAAGATAAAGAGAGAAGCTTGAAAGCAGCAAGGGAAAGGCAGAGAATTACCTTCAAAGGAGTTTCTGTAAGACTATCAGCTGGTTTCTCAGAAGAAAGTTTGCAGAGTAGAAGGAACTGGCAAGAAGTATTCAAAGTCATGATAAGCAAGGACTTACAACCTAGATTACTCCATCTAGCAAAGTTATCATTTAGAATGGAAGGGCAGATAAAGTGCTTCCCAGACAAATTAAAGTTAAAAGAGTTCATCATCACCCAGCCATTATTAGAGGAAGTGTTAAAGGGACTTATTTAAGAAAAAAAGAAAAAAACCATGAACATTAAAGTGGCAATAAATTCACAATTATCAAAAATTGAATATAAAGAAAACAAACTAAACAAGCTAGCAGAATAGGAACAAAATCATAGATATGGAGATCATTTGGAAAGTTATCAGTTGGGAGGTAGAAGCGGGAGGATATGGAAAAGGTGCAGGGATTAAGAAGTACAAATTGGTAGGTTCAGAACAGATAGGGGGATGTAAAGCGGAGTAGAGGAAATGGAGAAGCCAAAGAACTTACGTGCGTAACCATGGACATGAACTAAGGCGGGGGATTGCTGGAGGGAATGAGGGGTGCTGGGTGGAGGAGGACAAAGGGGGGTGGGAATTGGCATAACTGTAATTACATAATCAATACAATATAAAAAAAAGATGAACGTATATGTATTGAATAATTATTGGCCTGCCCACGTTTGGCTACTCTCATGTTTTCTTTGTTAATTCTAGATCAACCGAGCTCCGAGCTTCGGAACCGACCAGAAAATAGACTACGACGTGAAGAGAGGAGTGCTGCTAAACGCACTGAAGCTGCTGAACATCAGGTGAGGTGTCCCCGTCCCTCGGAGTTTTTTTCACTGCATTTGCCACAGAACCTTCATTTATATGTGGGATTGCTTGAACTTTTTGTATTTTATGTTTTGAATTTCTTAATTCCATTCAAACCCATTTAGTTTTCTTCTTTTTAAAAGTCTTTTCTCCTCTTCTAACACGTGATTTGTTTTTCCTTTTCCCCACTTAATGCTCTGATTCTATAGTAAACAATGGTTAAGTTACAGTATTGATATAATTATTTAATATAGAGTATAAGGTTGAATTGGGGAATACCTTATGATACCTTCTAGATTATCTTCCTCACCTTACAAGAAGAAACTAAAGCAGGTCATTCAGGAAGTAAAAAACCCCTCAAACATTGATTTCCTTATCTTTCTATCCCAGAGTTCTTCCCATTATATCTTGCTGCCTGGGTAAACAGAAAAGAGAGTAGACATAAAAGTAAACAAATAAGTGAGGGTTAATCTTCCAATGGGAGTTTTTTTTTAAGGCTTAATAATAATATTCCATTGTATGTTCACACCATATTTTATTTCTCTTTTAAAATTTTTATTTATTGCCCTGGCTGGCGTAGCTCAGTGGATTGAGCGCGGGCTGTGAACCAAGTATCGCAGGTTCCATTCCCAGTCAGAGCACATACCTGGGTTGCAGGCCACGGCCCCCAGCAACCGCACATTGATGTCTCTCTCTCTCTCTCTCTCTCTTTCTCTCTCTCTCTCCCTCCCTTCCCTCTCTAAAAATAAATAAATAAAATCTTTAAAAAAAATAAAAATTTTATTTATTTATTTTCAAAGACAGGAAAAGGGAGGGAGGAAGAGAGGGAGAGAAACATTGGATGTGTGAGAAAAACATGGATTTGTTGCCTGTCACATGAGCCCAGACTGAGAACTGGCCCAGTACCCAGGCAGGTGCCTTGACCGGGAGTTGAACCGATGACCTCTTGCTTTGTGGGATGATGCCCTATCAACTGAGCCACACCAGTCAGGGCCACCACATTATCTTTATCCATTGATGAACATTTAGGTTGCTTCCATGTCTTGGCTATTGTGAAAATTGCTGCAGTGTATATGAGAGTGTGGATATCCCTGAATCCTAACTCCAGCTCCTCTGGGTATATACCCAGAAGTGGGATTGCTGGCTGCAGTGTGCGTGACCGTGGATGTCGCATATTCAAAACGCTATTATCTGGGAAAGCTTTTGGCTCGTAATAAAGTAAAATTTTTAAAAGTTTAACTGAACTTCTCAGAGAAGTAATGAGTTGTTTGCAATTATAAATATTGAAACAGCATTTAGGGTGTTGGATTAAAGGACCTTGGAGGTAATTTATTCTTAGGGATTTTATGATTTCAGTTTCTACTTGTTATTTTAAGAGCTCTAGAGAAGTTGTGGGATGCCTCCAAGCAATTTATTTATTTTGAATGTTTTCCAAGCACTTAGGAGATGCCTGATTAAAATGTAGCTTCAATGGAAAGCATCATTTAAAAAAGAGATAGGCATACAAACTTGTTCAAAAATTTTTATATGACTCCTCCTTTTGCTTGATGGAAGGATGATTTGCCTAAATTCTGTTGATATTTCAATTATGATAAATGAATAGAAAAAAAGTAATGTGGAATGAGAAATTTTTGTTTAGCTTAGCATCAGATTTTGGATTACTTAAGCAATATGCCTATAATTTTTTTGCATTTACTATTATTGTATAAGTAGGCCTTGAATTTTTTGTGTGTGTGTGTGTGCAAGTCTTTTGACCTTGCCAATGACAGCATCAATTCAGGACCTTATCCATGGGTATTTTTAGTCTCCTTAAAAGTGAGAGGTACACATTTAAACAGTGAGACATTTCTAGACTTAACTCTAAGGAAATGTTGGACTTCATCTTCCTTGTTTTCCTTAGTGTTGTTCCACTTAGGAATTTAGCACAGTTGTTAACATTTAGAGAATATGCTAATGAAGCTTGTGCTGCCGATGTGCCTTTCCTCTTCAACCACATGGAGAGCACTGGGGGCGTGGAGGGGCATACTTGTACTCCAGTGTCGCCAAGTATGAGATGGGCACCTTGTGGGAACATGAGCAGGAACTAAGAATGCTGGGAAAATTCTATTATTGGATTAATTTTTATATGGACTGTTTTACTTCAGATAGAACAAATTGTTCTGTGATTCCCTATTTACATTCATTTTAATCAGACTGTCACAATGATCTTTTTTTAATTTTGTTATCTTTCTGCTCAAGAACCTAAATGGATTTCTGTTGGCAACAGTTAGTCTAAGCTCCTTTCAAAATAAAACTTAACCTTAGCTTTTCCATCTTATTTCCTATTTCTCTCCAACCCAAATTTAGTTAAGCTGATTTTCTTACTATTTTTCTCACATGTTTTGGCCAGTCTAATTGATGATTTATTCTGTTCCTTACCTTGGATGCCTTTGGTTATTGCCATCCTTTATTATGGATGGCATCCTTTATTACTCAAATTCCATCCTTTATTATGGTATCTTCTTTCTAGCACAAGTTAATTTTTTCTTCTTTGAACTCCAAGAGGAATTATAGTCTGCATAGTACATGGCCTATCATGTTTGTTCACTCTTTTATGCTCTGTGCTATTCTACCTGGGCATGGCTGATTTTTCAATTTGACTTAAGCTCCTTGAAGTCAAGGAGTATATATGTTGTTATTTTACACAATTATTAATATAATGCATTGCTTATAGTATGGCTCCATATATACCCCCAAATTCCTAGTGCAAGTGTATACGTTTAGTCTCAGGAAAATCCGGAAGAGTGTGGATTGCTCAGTGTGTTCCATCTCAGCCCCTGAGAGTACAGAACCTCAGATCAAGGGGCCAGAATTGATCCACTTAGTACTTGGATGGTACAATGTTATTTGAGTTCAGATTCAAATAATTTTCTGAAACATTTGGCTTGGGGTCTTCAGAGACAAAGAGTACAAAAGGGGCTATATGCAGAACAGGAAAAAATAATAAACAAAAATAGTCAATGGTAAAATAATAGTAAGTAAGAAAAAGTATTTTTTTGGTAATAAAAGAAAAATGCAGTCTTGTGTAGTGGGGGTAGTAGTGTCTTGATAAGAGGAATCTTTTTTCTTTATAAGTATTATATTAGAATCTTTAAAACAGAGTCTAGGAACCATCCACATAAATGTCCAGGCTAGAAAGCTGAGAGTTATCTTTATATCTTTCCTTTATTATGAATCAGCTGAGTCCTGTCAACTGTATGACTACCATTTAATTTTCAGTCTCACCAAGTTTCAGAACTTCTCATTTCTCTTCTGGATTATGTTACTAGTTTTCTTTTTTCTTCTAGCACTAACTCCCTCCCCATTTTTCAGCCTTGCTCCACTCTGTTGCTCTGCAAGCCAATTAACAAGTGTGTACTGCGTGCCCACTACCATTGCAGTGGGCACTAGGAACTCAGTGTCTCCCTGATTCCCAGGTTTCTGGCTTGGATGCCTTGTTTGATAATACATCATTGATTTAGATAAAATTTTTAGGTGAGAAATAGATTTAGAGGAGTGATGGGGGAAGGTAGAGAGAGAGAGAGATAGTTCAGTTTTAAACATGCTAATTCTGAGGTGCTTTGAGACCTCCACAGAATTGTTAAGTGGGAAATTTGATATTCAGTGCCCCAGGAGGCGGAGAGATCTATCTGGCTGACACCCGCATACGCGTACCGATGCCATTGCATCTGACAGGTGAGAGCACACAGTTGGGGTGCACATATTGAGAAGTGAAGGGCCTGGGCAGCAGAGCCCTGAGGAATGCCAATATTGCAATGCCAATGTTTATAAACTCTGATATTCTGATAAGATTGTTTCCACACTCTTGTTTCCAGATAAAGTTTCAGTACTGCATCAAGGCATTTTTAATCTTAGATTGCATATGAGACAGTGTTTGGTCTGGCTTATGCATCTCTCACACGTATGGCCACTTTTTGTTCTTTTCCTCGCCTCAGAATTAATTTTTCTAAGAATGCATGTGTGGCGCTGTCTCACATGTTCATGGTTTTGCACGTACTCACATTGAAATGTACTTTCAGCTTTGTTCCTCTGGTGAATGTCAACTCATTTAAAAAAGTTTTTGGTAAAATATACTTAACATGAAATTTACTATCTTAACCATTTTTAATTGTGCAATTCAGTGGCATTAACTAGATGCACATTGTTGTGCAGCCATCACCACCATCCTTCCCCAGAACTTTGTGGTTGTGCAAAGCTGGAACTCTGCTCATGAATCAGTAACTCTCCACCGATTGCACAGCTCCACAGGGTGGAAGAGGGAGGAGCTAGTTTCACTGGGAGGCAATCTTGCAACAGGGCTTTCCACCATAAAAATCAGACATCTGAAACTAAATTTTCAAGATTGGGCAAAAATGAGAAGGACTGTACAGAAGTTTTCAAATAAATAATGATTGTTAGACTAGGATTTCAGTCAGAATTGAAAATGTACTTCAGCGGTCAGTGTAAGTGAGAGTGCTTCAATACTAATGGAATTGGTCGAAGGAGGAGAAAGGAACCAACATTTATGAAGGACCCATTAATGTTATCATGAGCTAATGTTTGTAAGAGCTGTAGGAGGGAAACATTATGTTATCATTTAATAGATGGGGAAACAGACTTAACAGGTAATCGACCTCAGCTTGTACGGATAGTAAGTTGTTCAGCTGTTTCCAGTTTTTTTCGGTTACCTTCAGAATTTCTGTTTAACATAGAGAGACACTTATCTGATGGATGCTTAGGTGAATATAGTGTGAATATATAACTTAGTAAACATTGGTTCATCTTCACTGTGTCTCCTTTCCTGCTAATCTCCCAGGGATAAGATCAGAGTTTTTGTGAATTCTAGAATATGGTCTTGTGTTTTATATTTTAGGACCAGTGATAAAAGGAGAAACTTGGCCAAACAAAAAGCTGAGGCTCAAAGGAGGCTTTATGGTCAAAATTCAATGAGAAGGCTCTTACCAGGTTCCTCAGACTGGGAACAGCAGAGACATCAGTTGGAGAGGCGGAAAGAGGAGTTGGTATGAAAATTTTAACACACCCACATTTTGAATTGCATAATTCATTTCTCGGGTTTTATTTGTAAAATTTCTTTATTCTAGAAAGAGAGACTCGCTCAAGTACGAAAGCAGATCTCCAAAGAAGAACATGAAAATCGACATATGGGGAATTATAGGCAAGTGCACTTCCTTTTTATATAGATAGTGCAAGTTAAGTGTCAATACAATTAGTCTACATTTTATAACCATTTAGGCATGTTTTAAGCACTATTTATTTTACTTTAAGTAAGTGCTTTTGTTTAACATTTTTCTGGGATGAAAAGGTCATCAGCAACTAGATGGTGCAGGTTTGGGAGACCCCTGCTAACCAGCCTTGATGGGGGTTATGTGAGGCCTTTTAAATCTGAGAGTATCTTGTCCTTATTTGGTTACAATGTGGTATTTTGAGGAAGTCAGGTTTCAGTTCTAGTATTATTTCTGTCAGTTCAGAGTGGTTGCTATATTTTGTTTTAAACTCTTAATGTATCAGAAACCAGGCAAATAATGAAAATGTTTGAAAGAGCCAGGCATGAGACAGTAGCAAGCGTGTAGACCCTGATGAACTGGAACCCTTCCCTCTACAGTATCTGCTGCGATGGGACAAAAGGGTGTTCCCTAAGTTCCTCCAGTAACTGGACTAAATCCAAAACTTCCAAATTATCCCTCATCACCTAAACTTTCTCCCATAAAGTTCTGTATTCCTTCAATATGCCCAATTGCAATGGTTTTCCAACCACCTACTTCTAACTAAACCCTTATATTGTATCATCTGTTTAAGATAATTCTCTAGATAAACTTTGTGTGTGTGACAGATGACAATTTATGTATTTTTCATAACTATATACATCTTTATTTTTGACACCTAGTGAAGTGCCTGGCAGAATAGGTGGTCATGGATTATCGATGTAGTTGACCTTCACTCTTAACAATATAATAGCTTCTTTTACACAAGTTGGTTTATCTGACTTTATTGTAGACGAATTTATCCTCCTGAAGATAAGACTCTACTTGAAAAGTATGAAAATTTGTTGGCTGCTGCCTTTCAGACCTTTCTTTCAGGAAGAGCAGCTTCATTCCAGCGAGAGCTGAATAATCCTTTGAAAAAGATGAAGGTAAAGGAATGCGTGTTTATACAGAGGGAAAAAAAATTAAGCAAAATAATATGTCTTGAAAAACAACCTACCTCAGTCCCACATATAGAAAAGTTTTATATTGAAGATGTACTTGCTTCCATTTTAACAGCTGGTAACATTTCATAACCAACCAAGTGATTTCAAAAATAAGATGTCTAACAAGACAAATTATACATTAGAGAATGTTGATATTATGTTGTAATACCAATCTATTTTAATAAACATGTCTTACAATAGAAATGTGTATGTGTAACTGAATAAAAAAAATCTGTTGTATTTACCAAGGGGTTTGTGATGCTGTTGTTATTTGTAGTGTAACTGACATTAAACAGTATTCTTTTCCCACGACTGCGTAGGCCTGGCTGTGAGAGGTGGTGCAAACACATACGCATACCCGCAAACTTTCTACCACCCACACACAGCGATCTGTTGACCTTACTACAGGGTCTGTCAGTTATCTATTGCAGCATAAACCACTTCATTTATTTGCTTATTATTCTGCACTCTTGAGTGGTTCCTTCTGCTTATCTTGAGAATCAAGCTATGATTCACTTCATTTATCTGAAAGGGCACCTGGGGCTGGGTGCACAGGATGGCCTCACTCACCTGTTTAGAGCCTCATTTGAAATAGCTGGAACACCTGGGAAGCTTGCTGGGTATTTCTTTCTCCATGCATAGTCTAGGGTAGGGTAGCCAGATCTCTTAATTCAGTAGTTTGGGGTTCCAAAAGGGAGAATTTCAAAAGGGCAAGCCCAGGGTGCAAGTGCTAATCAAGCCTCTGCTTGCATAATGCTTACTAATGTCCCACTGGGTGAATAACTTTATGTGGACCCATTTAAACTCTTTGTACTTGATATTACTTGACATCCCCTGACAGTGATGTATCCTCGGTATCTTGGATAGCCTCTTATATTGAGAGATTCAAAAATCATGAGCAATCTGGGCTTTTCACTCAGCTTCTACAACAGAAGGTTGCAAAGCCACTTTTTTAGCTGCCTAGACTTGAGAGACAGAAGCAGAAGGAACATTGTATACCCCAGTGTTTTTCTCCTCCAAATTTCCATCTTTTGATGTGTGTAAATGTCTTACCATTAGAATTATGTCTGTGGCCCTTTTGTTTGTCTTGACCCAGACGGTGAGAGACCTTCAATTTTCTTCACCTGTTTTATAATCTGATTTCTCTCTCCTAGAATCTATCCTCTCTCCTCATTATTCTGCTCCTCCATCCCTACTTTTCCTAGCAGAAACCTAGGGGTTTTGGAACCAAGTAAACCTAGATTCAAATTGCAGTTCCCCCATCCTGTTAATTTTGTAACCTTTGCCTAAACTATTTGATCAATAGTTTCCTTGCCACTAAACGAGTAGTATTAAAACTACTTATCAAGCTGGTTGTGAAAATAAAATCGAGGTTAATTAAAAGTCTATTAAACTACTTGACACATAATAAATGGGCTTCAAATCTGAATTTCCTTTCTACCTCTATATTCAAAATCTAGGTTAAATGTTACTGCTTGTGCCATTGTTGCACTGGCCTGTGAGCCCAGATATTTATACTTTCTTTACTAATGTTGCTTTGTAATAAGTGTTGAAATCAGATAGTGTAAGCCCTCAATTTGTTCTTTTTCAAACTTGTTTGGCCTCTCTAGGACCTTTTACATTTCCATATATATTTTAAAATCATCCTGAGAATCTTTTTTAAAAAAGGCTACTGGGATTTTAATTGGGACTGTGAGAAACCTGTGAAACAATTTCTGGGGAATTAACGATACTGAGTCTCTGATCCATTCATATGGCACATCTCCATGTATCTGAGTCCTTCATTACTCGGCTGTGTTTGTAGTTTTTGCTGTGTAGTTCTTATGCATCTTTCATTAAATTTATTCTAAGTATTTGATTTTTTTGCTACTGTTGCTAGTAAATAGTTTTTAAATTTTTTCATTTTTTTGTTTGTTGCCAGGATGTAAATATTTAATTATTTTCATATGTTGCCCTTATATCTATCAATTTTATATGTTGTATTTTTATTAACTGCTATTTAAAATTATTTTCTGATATTTATTTTGGTTATTTAGAAGTTTGTTCCTTAATTTTCATACATTAAGTTTTGTAGTTTTATTTTTGTTAGGGATTTCTGGTTTAGTTCATTGGTGTTAGAAAACATTCTGATTTGTCTTGTAAAATGAATTGAGACTTGCTTTATGTCTCAATATAGTGCTTATTTTAGCAAATGTACCAAGTCTACTTGGAAAAATGTGTATAGTGCAGGTGTTGGTTGCAGAGATTGATACATGTCACTTAAGTACTCTTGGCTATTAGTGTTGTTCAAATATTCTATGTCCTTTTATATATATATATATTTTTTGGCCTACTTGATGCACCAGTTACTGAGGAGGATTTGTATATTTAGTTCTGTTGATTTTTGTTTCATATACTTTGAAATTATGAAGATGTTTTCCTAGTGAATTCCTTTCCTATTTTATCATTATGAAGTGTTTATTTCTCTTGGGTCACATTCTGTATGAGTAATAGAGACACATGGGTTTCTATCTCATGGCTACTGTTTCTGTCTCATGGCTGTCCATCCCCTTGCTTTCAACCCATCTGTGTTCTTACATTTATAATGCCTCTGGTAATTATCATATAGTCAGGTCACATTTCTTTTAAATCCAGTCCAACAATGTGTCTTGAAATCATTTTACGCAATAACTGGTGTAGTTGGGTTTATGTCTGTCTTTTGCTCTTTTTTCCTCTACTTATACTATCTATTATTATTTTTGCTTCCTTTATTCTTTTGGAAAATCATTTTTTAATTATGTCATCTTCACTATTGGCTTTTACTTATATTTGCAGCATAATGTGAGTTTTTAAAAAGTAATTACAATATGCATCCTTAAATCATAATAGTCTACCTTGAATTAGTATTTTACTGCTTCACAGACCATATAAAAGCCCTAACAGTTTAATTTTATTTAGTTCCTCTCTAGACTTAGTGCTGTTATCATTTATTTTACTTTTACATGTGTTATAGTCTTCAACATACATCATTATTACCCTTTTGAAAGGCACTCATTGGGCCTTTCGCTAATGACCCACTGAACCGTCAAGAAAAAGAGCAAAGTAAAAACACCGATTTGGGTGAAGTGGCAGCATGTTCTGTAGTTTTGCTTCAGTCAGTGGTGTGACAAGGGGTTAAAAAAACCCATCATTATTATTGTGTTCTGAGCACCAAGTGGTCTTGAATAGTTTTATAAATAGACTTTCATATTTATACACATACTGATCCTTTCTTGTGTTCTTCATTTCATTCTGCAGATTCATACTTCCAACAGGGTCATTCATCTTTCCTACAGTTTGAGGAAACTTTCTTTAGTATTTCACATTCTTTTTGGTATGAATTCTCTCAGATCCATCTTCCCTCCCTCCTTCCCTCCCTCCCTGCCTCCCTCCTTCCCTTCCTCTCTCCCTTTCTCTCCTGAAATTGTCTTTTACTTTGCCTTCATTTTAAGTAGTTTAATTGGGTATATAATTCTATCATGTCAGGCTTTTTTTTCTTTCAGTACTTTTAAAGGTGTCATTTCTTTGTCTCCTGGTTTCTGTTGTTTCTATTCAGAATTCAGCCATTGTTATTTTTGTTTTTCCTCTGAATATGCCTTTTGTCCTGACTGCCTTTTTTTTTATTTCAGCATTTTGGCTTTGATGTGTCTGTGTGTGATTTGTTTACCTTGCTTGTGGTTTTCTCATCTTTTTGAAGATGTGGGTTAATGTCTTTCACGGTTCTGGAAAATTTTCTTTCATAATTTCATTAGATATTTCTGCTGTATTTTATATATTGCCTCTTTAATGGGACTGTAGTTTCACATATATTAGATCATTGGACAGCGTCCCATATATCTTTGATGCCCTATTCTGTTTTACTTTTTTTCTCTCTTTGTCTATGTTTCAGTTGGATCATTTTCATTGACATATTTTTGTTGTGTCTAGACTACCATTGAGCATACTGAGTCACATCTTAATTTTAGATTATGTTAGTCAGCTCAAGAATATCTATTTGGTTTTTTAAAATTTCTCTTCTCTGGTAAAATTCAGTATCTTTCATTCGTTTTGTTTCCTTTTTCATTTTTTTCTGTAACATGTATATAATAATTATTTTAAAATCCTTGTCTGTTAATTTTAATGTTTGGATTACTTAGGGTCCTTTTATTGTTTTTTCCTTTTGATTATGGTTCACGTTTTTTGTTTTTTTTGAATGTCCTATAATTTTTATTTGTTTAACAGACATTGTTTATAAAAGAATCATAAAAAATTGATATTATTTTCCACAAAAGAAGGCATATCTTTCTTCTTACAGGGTGCTAGGGTGAAGGGCTAATTACTTTGAGTTGTAGATAAGTTAAAGAAAAGCAAAAGTGAAACTACATCAAACCTGAGAGCTTCTACATAGCAAAAGAAGCAAACAAACAAAAAAATGAAAAGGCAACCTACAGAATGGAAAAATATTTTTGTAAACCATATCTAAAATAAGGAGTTGATAGCTAAAGTATATTGAATTCATATAACTCAATAAAACTCCCCATCTTTATTACAAAGTGGACAGAGAAACTTAATAGATATTTTTCCAAAGAAGATATTGAAATGTCCAACAGACACGTGAAAGGGGCTCCATATCACTAATCATCAAGGAAGAACAAATCTCAGCCACAGTGACGTATCACCTCACACCTGTTGAATGGCTGTTATCAGAAAGACCAGAGTAACAAGTATTGGGAAAATGTGGGAGAAAGCGAATCCTTGCACACTCATGGTGGGACTGTAAATCAGTCCAGCCACTGTGGGAAACAGCAACCTAAGTGCCTGTCCATAGGCGAATAGACATAGATGGTGTGGTGTACCCCTACAGGGGAATATTGTCCTGTGGTGAGAAGGGAGGAAATCCTGCCATTTGTGACAATATGGATGGACCTTGAGGACATAATGCTAAGTGAGATAAGTCAGACAGAGAAAGACAAATACTGGATAATATCTCTTATATGTGGAATTTTAAAAACTCAAGTAAAAAGGGGTTTGGTGGTGGGGTGGGGGGTCAGAGAGATGTTATTTAAATGTATACACTTGCAACTAGTAGTAAGTCTGTCTTAGAGATCTAACACACTGTATAGTGAATATAGCCAATGATATTTAATTCCAATCATTAAGCTTGCTAAGAGACTAGATCTTAATTTTTCCAACCACTAAAAAGAAATGTTCATTATGGGACTTGGTAGAGGAGTTAACTATAGCTACAAGGGCAATATTATAATATATACATGTATCAATATGCTGTACACCTTAAATTTACAGTGTTACATATCAAGTATATTTCAATTGAAAAGTAAAACTAAAATAAGAAAAGTTGAACTGGGTCCAGGCTGGGTTTAGTAGTTTTAGTTTACCTCTGGTTTCAAGTGTCTTGGAGGTGAAATCTGTTCAGTGTTTATTATAGGCCTCATGCTCTATTGGTATCTAAGACCTGTAACACCGCAGAGAAGTATTTCTGGCTTCCATCCATGCCTCCATCCTCCTACATCACCTCATATGCACTCAAACTGCTGTCACAGAGATACAGCAGGCGATGAGAACCAGCTCTGTGGGGCTCCTCTAGATGTTACACTAGCCAACACGGCCATAGAGAACTCCATTGGGTTCTTTATCCTGGCAGACTCTCTGCCTGTTCTAGACCTGATCTTTGTCCATCTGTGTCCAGACATGACTAATGATCCCAATATAGAAAGTGGTCCCTCCTCTCTTACAACCCAGGAAGAATTTCTCCCTCTCTGGCATTTAGTTTTTTTTTAATGTTACTTTTTATCCACAGCTTTCTGATGTCTTAAAAATATGATTATTTAGTTTATCTGTCTTTTTCTAGCTGTTATAATGAAAACACTGACTTTCTCCTAAACAGAAACAGAACTCCATGTGTTTCATTTTAACTATTTGTGCCTTGGAATTCATTGTGGAATTATTATTTAATCAAACTATAGAAAAAATCTTTTGGTATTTTAATAGCTAAACCTTCTTTGATTGATATGAATAACTTATTTTATAAATTTCTGCATAGTGATGCTTCTAGTTTCTTCTAAAACCTTTTTTAAGACATACTGAAATATAAATCATGTAAGTAAAAATGAGATATTTTTATAGGTTAAATAAATAGCTCAATGGAGCCATAGATTATTCAATTTTCAGTATAGCTGTTATAGTCCTATTCTGGTTTGCTCAACATTCAATTGGGTGTTATGTTTTTATAACTTTTCCCTGTAACATCAAAATGATTCTAGAAGATAAGAGAAGGTATTAAGCCTATAGATTGAAAACTTTTTATACAGTTCTAAAAATACTGTTGTGTACTAGTTAAAATTTTTAAAGTTTCATTAAATTGTGCCCATTAAGTAAATACTAATATTAGATTGGTAACTATTAGACCAGTCATCAGTTTTCTGTCTTAAGTTGCAAAACTACTTTGCAATGATCAATATAGAAATGATTGATGACATTGTGGTCTGGAAAATTAGAGTGACTTATAGAAATTTTGAAGTGTTCAATAGGCTAATTTATTGAGTTACTTTACTTTCAGATTTTAACAGTATGCTAAAACATAAAGATATGTTTGTTTATAATAATGCATAATGGTTTTAGCAATGTATTATATTATCAGATTTTAGAGAAAAAAATTTAAGAGTTTTTTATGACCCTTTATTATTCATTCGATCTGACCAATCTTCATTAAATAGTTTTAGGAATCCTTGTATACTCTTTTCTGGAGATTAATCAACTTAGAAAAATTCTAGGGTCCATTGGTGATCACAGTTTGAATTAAACATCTTTTTAAGGAGGAAGATATCTTGGATCTTCTGGAGCAATGTGAAATCGATGATGAAAAGTTGATGGGCAAAACTGCCAGGCCTCGAGGACCAAAGGTGCCGTACCTTTTCCTTTCTTAGTATCAAGGTAGATGCTATTAAGTACAGATGGTTTTCCATTTATATTTATCACCACGGGAATGGCCGGTATCACTTTCAAGGAGCTGTACAGACTCTATGTCCAGGACAGATACAGTTGGTTACCTCACACTTAGAAGTTTTGTTTTTTTGTTTTGCTAGTTTCCTTCACTTTTTGGATTCTTTTTGTAATGCTACTGAAATCCTAATTAGTCAGGACCAAGAGGGACTTAGAATTAATACCCTTATTAATAGTTAGTATTAAATTTTCCTTTTATCTCTAGGCGCATAATTATCGGAGAAGTGCAGCATTATAGATAAGGCAAATAATGAGTATAGAGATCCTTATTAGGAACCCCGTATTTTCCTGACCCAGCAACATTGAAATTGTGTTAGTTAAAATAGAGTTCCTAGGATAAAGAGAAAGCTGTCATGCAGGCAAAAACGAGCAGGTGGGTGCTTTACCTTCATCTGCTCTGTGATGATGACATCGATATGTTCTTTGGTTATCTGTCAAAGCCCTTGCTGCTAGAATAGGGAAAGGATGAATTTGTAAAATCTTGGAAACTTGTTCTCTGTGCTCTTTTTACTTTACGCTGCAGCAGTGCTAAGCAGTGCCTATGTCCTTACGCTCATCGTGCTCTGCTGTCCTTTGGTGCTTTCCCCAAGCCTCTGGAATCCCTGCCTATTTTAAAAAATCACATATTCATTGCTTGGTTGATTAGAGAGCCCCTCCTAATCCAGCTGAACTCTTGCTGGCCTTGTGAAATCCTCACTTCCCTTGTTAGATCTTCCTTCCCCTCCTCCTGCTGTACCACAAATAACTGTTTTATAGAGCAGTTGTGACAAGTAATTGCTTGCATGTTTGTTTGCCTTAATACAAGCTGGTAATTTCCTTGAAGGTAGAAAGTATATTTTTACCTTTATATCTGCTATACCTAACACAGCATCTAGAACTTAATAGGTTCTCATAAACTATTACTTGAATCTGTGTACAAGGGCCCAATTGGCTGGTGGAAGAGCAGATAAGTGAACCAAAATCCATGGTATATTGTGCCAAACACTGCAATAAAGAGAGTGGAAAGTACTACAGCAGCATAGAGGAGAAGGGATTGGTAGACTGTGGATAGCTTCATAAATGCCATTTGAACTGGGTCTTTAAAAATGAGTAATGCTACAAACATGTAAGATGGGTGGAAAGACGTTTGGGGTAGAGGGAACATTAAAGGCGATGACATGGAGTTGTGACACTGCATAGGTTGTTAGAGAAACATGAAGAATTTGATATGACTCCAGTGGAAGATTCTTGGAGAATAAAATGATGCATGATGAACCTAGTGAAAGATACGTATCTGGTGGACACCAGAGATCTTGGATGTCAGACACTATTCTTTTGAATTTTATCTGCTGTATTGAAGAACTGCAGAAAATGTCATTGCTAATTCCTTTGGAACAAATATATTGTAGAGTATGTAAAAGTGAATACCTTCGTGAGCATTGCTTCACTTTGAAAAACATTGGGAAGTTTCCAGGTTTTACATATTGATTATCACAATTCAGCAAACCAGACGTGAGACAGCCTGGGGGCACAGTATTCATGGCAGAATGGCCAAGACAGAGTCCTGAGATGCCCTTCTATTTTCTTATGTTTTTCTTTGCTTCATCAATAAGATTTATTATGCAAATATTTATGCAACCTGTTATTATGCAAATAATAAATATTTATTTATATAAAAGGTGACCTCTTGGAGGGCAGAATTCACATTGTGTATTTCTAACCACTATATTCCAAGCAAGTGAAGGGAGTTAACAATGTATTTGTTGAAATGAATTGGTTAGTTCCTGTAGTTATTAATGCCAGCAATATTTCAGAGTGGTTGAAAGCTGCATAGTCAGTCAGAAGTAAAAACATTTTTACACTTTTCACTTTATGTGGACTGAGGGTCTGGGGTGAGCCAGGCTTCGGAGCAGACTTTGTCTTTTAGAGCGATGATACCACATTCTAGACACTTCAGTGTTTTTACTGGTAGGAGAATAAAGAATAATTGAAGATAATCAAGGTTAAATGAAACTTGCACTAGGAGAAATAATTTTCACTTATTTGAGAATCTAAGACATAATTAGCTGCAAAAATAATAAACACCACAGAAAGTATTAACATTGTTTTTTTTTTTTCCAGCTGAGTGCTAGGTGCATGGGTATTTGTTTTATTATTCTTTATCCCATTTATATATTTTCTTATTTATGACCCAGTTGGGTTATAAAATATAATTGGGCATAAAAGCAAGTAGTAGGTCTGTGTCATAACTCAATGCCAATTTACAGATTCCATTTTGTAGTTGAGGCATTGTTTAGAATTTATACTGCTGTGACTTCTTATTAGTTATTGCTTCAACAGTGTATTGGTCAAAAAAGTTCCAAATGCATATATGACACATTTGTTTGTTTCCCCTTGTAATTGTTTAAAGGGTCAGATAAGTCATTATGTAGTTGAGCTCCTTAAAAAGCCTTAAATCCATTTGCCTACATGAAGGAAGGCACTACTAGCAAGCCTGAGCGCACCACTGTTTTTTCTGGGTACACTAGATTCTGAAGAGACATCCTTCCTCCAGAATATTCCTCAATATTGTCAGGATGTTTGGTGATGGTGTTACTGGTAGATGTTCTTATGTATAGGTCCGTGAACATTGTTAGTGCTCAGTAACTATTACACTATCAAAAGGAAAACATACTTTTAAACACAAGTTGGTACCATAGTGTATTAAACTACTTTCCTCCTTTGGTTATTATTTATTTATTTTTGTCCTTTGCTACGCCCATAATGTTAAGACGATCATACTTTGGCTATGTATGCCAGGTCCTTCATGAAATGCCGTTCCTCTCCTTAGCTTTCATCCTGCACTGTTACCTGAGAGGATAGACCCTATTTTGGGGAAATCCCCTGGTGACGAAGGATTTCTCTATTGTGTATAATAATATCAAGACATTTTTGTTTGATTTAACAGAGAACAAGAAACTTGTGTACAACTGTGGGGAGTTTTTTCCTCATTGTGACTGAACTGCATCATTTAAGAAGGGACCTTTGGCAGGAACAGAAAAACTAGTGGATTGCATTGTGGGCCAGGAGCAGCACCAGGGCAGCAGCACTCTGGGGCATTTCCAGATTTCAGTGAAAGCAGTTTGCATAAGCGAGAAATTGAAAGTTGTAACTGATCATGTTAATAAGATTTTTTTTTGGAATTCTGACAAAATAACACATTTTCCTGTATTTTAGCCTCTGTGTTCCATGCCCGAGAGCTCGGAGATAATAAAAAGACAGAAGTACTGGAGTAGTGACAGCAGTTATGACAGCAGCAGCAGCTCCTCTGAATCAGATGAAAATGAAAAAGAAGAGCACCAAAATAAGAAACAAGAAAAGCAAGTTACTTATAATCTTAAACAGTCCAACCACTACAAATTAATCCAACCATCCAGTAAGTTAATTTCTTCTCAGTTAGTTGTTATGTGAAGAAATACAGAACTGAAGTTATGGAACTCAATAAAAAGACCTTGGGCCAAATGAACTCTTGTCATATGTGAGGGGGCCTGGATTCTATCCCATTTCCTTCCCTACCTGACCTGGACACATCCCACAATCCCCTTCAGGGTCTGCAAGTAGAACATAAAGGGCTGACCTAAGGATCTCTATAGTCCATTCTTCTATATTTCATAGTTTTTGTTAAGCCCTAGCCTTTTTCTTAAATCCTCACCTGAGAGTATGTCTACTGAGAGAGAAACATTGATTGGTTGCCTTCCCCATGTGCCTCAACCCAGGATCAAACCCACAACCAAGCCATGTGTCCTAACTGGGAGTCCACCGGGATGATGCTCCAACCAACTGAGCCACCCATCCAGGGTGAGCCCTAGACTTTCACATGGGTTTATAAAAGGTGATTCATGGCCATTCTGCTGATGGCCTTCTTTCTTAAGCCAATATATTCTCTCATTCCCTTTCCTGCTTTTCCTACCTCTCTGTCACCCATTTTGTTGTGTATTCTTGCCTTTTTTAAAAATGTGTCTATGTCTAAGTATTTGACGTGAGTGTATCTGCGAGTCCCACAATTGTGTGATAGTTTTGTTTCCTCTCACTTTTATCGTGGACAGTACTAAAATCAGAGCTTTGGGCGTGTTTAGGAGAATAACCAACTAGCTTCTTTGTCTCCACCTTTTTCAGCTTCCTTTTTTTTCTTTCCACATTTTTTCTTCCATTCTCCTTTTATTCCTTCTTTGATCCCTAATGTGCACTCCTGTATCCATCATTCTTTCCGCCCCAGGTGTCCAGCATCACTGTTTGTCCAGGCTCAAGGAGACACCCCTTCCTGTTGCTGCCTCCAGGGCAGGACTCACTCTGAAGTCCTGTCTCTCATTTCCCTGTTTGCCTGCCCTTCATTATCCCAGGGCCCCACTAAAGGGACAGTTCCATCGTGTAGTAAACACAGTGGTGAGACTTTGTGGATCTCCAGTACTGGCTTCATATGTTAGCTTCCCTGATAGCGTGTGTATGTTACACCTGGCATTCCATACTTACGGCAAAATGCATTGAGGAATGCAGAGCTAACAGATGAAGGTTTTAATGGTCTTTCATTTACTTCTAAATTATCTCCCAAAGATATCTGCCAATGATGCTGTCTTTGAGGGTTTATGTGTTTAGAGGGAAAATAATGTATCATGTTCCATTTTATTTGTTTATTTGTTTACTCATTTGAGGTATGTTTATTGATTACCTGTTCCAGATTTTATAGCTATTTTATGTTTCTTCCTTGTTTTCTTAAAGACACTTTAAGTACTTTCACTGCGCCTGTGTAAGTGTGACTCTGTTCCTCTTTTGGAAGCTGACCTTGTTCTGCCCAGATTTTGTCAGATTTTTTAACCCCTGTTGGCTAATGTGCCCATCCCTCAGGGCAGGGCGAAGAAAATCTGCTCCTGTTCCTGTAGCTCTGAGATTGTTCTTTGTTTGTTGACCAATAAGTGAATGAATCGAGATGGGGCAAATGGTGTACTAAAGCTACCCTAATTTGATTCCATATCTTTTTTCCTAAGTATTATATTTTAGTCATTAGAAATTGCAATAAGGCAATTTCTTTGTTTTATATTCTCTCTTAGACTAAGTGATAGCATAGCCGCAAACCCTCCCTGAATTTTCCGTTCAAAATGATGACAATGACTGAGGACAAAATCCAGATTATGTGTAACACTTTCTGTTGTAGACAGTTATTAACTTAGGAAATTCATACTTGTAGTTTTGAAGAATATATTTTGGTTTGATACAAGATAGTCATATATAAAACTATATGAAATTTTTCACATAATTTGTGTATTCAAGTTACAACTATTTTTTGTTAATTGACCTAAATATCATTGGCATGTCTAACTACTTAATTACTCTGTCTGAATTTTCATTGTATGCAGGGGGAAAATGCGAATCTTGGTCATTCAAGAGAAAGGATATTTTCCTTCTGTACCTATGATCATATAAATGTCTAAACCAACACCCTAGGCCTTAAGAGAGAGACCCAGGTACAGGTTGTAGCACATGCTTTGGGGGAACTTGCCTAGTAGAAGACTGACCAGTGGTGTGTGCCCACACAGACCTTCTCTAGAAGCACTGTTTTTGTGATTTTCAGATTGAGATGGAAGTTACTAGTTTGAACAAATGGAAGTGTCTTTTAAACATATGTTATAGCTTGCCTGAGTATACTTTTTTTGTACTCTTTAGAACTAAGTGAGGAATATTAGGCTTATTATCTATTCAAAATATCATTTACAAGTGTTTCCCTAAATATAAGGTTTATATATCTACTGCCTTTAAAAAGGTTTAAACTTTTTTCAACAGCTAATGAAGAGAAATATTTGGCTATTCAACCTGCCTTTATGTGAGTTTTATTAAATTATTTAACCAATGAAGATTGATACATTTATAAAGCAAAGAGAGTATATAGAACAGAAGGTATATAAAATATGTGAACTAAAATATGTATGTAAATTATTGATAATATTGAATGATGTTCTGTTTTCCTGTGTCAGAAATAAAATTTCCCTGGGATAGTTGGCTCTCTCTTTTAAATTTTCTCAATATACATTGGGGAAGATACTCTATGGTTTTCCCTACTTGTTTGTTCTGATAGCAACCCTTTAATTCCAGATTCATTTTCTTAAACCATCATTGTGGGAATTTAAATTCTGTCTGTCATGTGAATAAGAAGGCTATCTAGTACCACTCTTGTAATAATTATATATTTAAACTCCGTTAAGATAATCTCTATGCTTTTATTCTGCTTTTTTTTTTCCTCAAGAGCCCAAAAGTCTATAACTCGTCTATTTACTGTGGCCATTCTCTAGACTGCTGTCCATCCCTTCCTATGGCTCCTGCTGGAAAATATTGTTTATAATTGATGTACAGAATCTAATGAATGACCAGTCTAATCTAAGGATGGTGGATAGTGTTTTCTAGGAAGAGGGAGACACTGGCATTAATATAGCTCAGGATTAAAACCTGAGCTTGGCACACTCTCTTGTCATGTGACCTTGAGAAAGTTCTTTTCCTGAGCTTCCAGGTGATGGAGAGTCCCACCTCAGAGGGTTTCTATGAGAAGGACTAAGATATAAGTATAGGTGGCACCTAGCAGGATGCCTAGCTTGTAGAAGTTGCTCCATAAATGTTAATTTTCCTCTCTTCTGGTTCTTCTATGTCATGTTTTGAGAACAGAAAATTAAAGCATTGTTAATATTATTCTCGTGATAACCATTCTTCATACATGACAGGGGTTCTGCACCACATTCACATTTATCACCATGCTTCTACCATGTGGTCTGCTAGTTTATGTAGACCAAATATGATGGGAAACTTCTATTAACTGTCCCTCTTTTCCACCACTGATAGGCTCCATAAGGCGTTCATTCAGTTGCCCTCGGTCCATCTCTTCTCAGTCACCTTCTAGTGCAGATATCCGGCCCCTTTCTGCTCAACAAATGATGCCAGCATCCCGGCCAACTTCAGCCTCTCGGTCACACTCCTTGAACCGTGCTTCCTCCTACGTGAGGCAAGTGCCTCAGAGTAATGATGCCAGCTCTACCAACTCTCAGATGGTAAGTCATCTACTTTGCTCCTTTTGAGGTTACAGGAAGCACTGTACTGAGGATTTAGGTGGCAAAGGGATCAGCTGGGAGGAAGACAGATCCTCAGGTCCTTCCTGTCATTCACCTCACGATCTCCTGGAGTTTGGATTGTTCCATTGATCTTAGTCTGTAATTTAGTATGAACTCTTAGAAGGCAGACGAGTCTATCACAGGCTCTAGGATGGACACTGAGAATAGCATTTTATTTTCCATTTTCTTATGGAGTAGGATAATGTTGTTGAAGATCATTAGAGGAAATATGTGATTTTGCAGTATATTGTGCAGTATATTTGTAAATTTGGGGAAATTTCTTATATGGCAAATTTTCTTTAATGGAACTCTTGGTTAATAAGTTAAAAAATAAACCATTGATAAATCATCCTTAGAGTACTGAAATACATTATGTTTGTTTTCTGTGTATTAAATTAACATAATATTTCCCCCTTAGTATGAATTCTAGAGATTCAGTTTTGAGGAAGTCAGCGAATTTATTTTGCTCTCTGACTTACTTGTAGACACTGAAATAGATAACTCCAAATGCCTTCACAAAGACCAGGAATTTATTTAATTTGTTTATATAATGTGGATGACGTTTCCAAATTGAAGAGTCTGAAAAATAGAAATGAATGAGTCTCACATGTTAACAATTATTTTTTTTCATAATCAAGAATTGCCTAAGGATCTCTGACCCAGTGTGGCTTAGCTGGTTTGGTATTGTACCTCAGAGCCAAGGGTCACTAATTTGATTCCCAGTTGGGGCACATGCCTAGGTCTCGGGCTTTGTCACTGACTGGGGACACACGAGAGGCAGCTGATCACTGTGATTGATGTTTCTCACATCGATGTTTCTCTCCCTCTCTTCCTCCTTTCTCCTCTCTCTAAAAACAAAAAAACAAAATTGCCTAAGGTATGTGTGGCAAGTGAAACTTTTGACCATGAAGTCATTTTTGACTACTCATCTCTTGTTTTTTAGTATTGTGAGCTAACTGAAATACAACTGTGCAGAAGTGGGAAAGGCAGTCTTGGGAAATCATATCCATTTATTCCTAAGAGTTCAATTCTAAGAATAAATGGAAGAATTTTTGTCTTCCTTTTTCATTGCCCCCACAATTAAAAGTGCACTATTTTCACCTCGAAATGTCTTTCAGATTATAGTGGCACAATGAAATAAGACCCCCTTCAAATATCTGTATTCTTTCAAATTTAAGAGCAGGTCTTTGCGGCGACTGAGAACAAAAGAGCAAGAAGACGATCTAACAAGTCAGACCTTGTTTGTTCTCAAGGACATGAAGATCCGGTTTCCAGGAAAGTCAGATGCAGAAACATTAATTCTGGTAGAAGATGTGAGTATTTGATGTATCAATATATAAAATTCCAAGGAGCTCATATCTTTTAATCGTAGAATATTAAAGTTTATTTCCCAATAGCATTATTCTCAGTGACATAGTAAACTTAATTGATGTTCTTTTCAACTTCCACAAGCTTTAGAACATAAGTGACTATTTTAATTGTTATGATTCATGAGCAGTGAGAACACATTTATAATTAGCAATGCAAAATATCTTTCAGTGCTTCGCTCCATTTTAATGGTGCAACTGCTTCATCAAGTGAAAATTCGTGTTATTCAGTTGTTGTTCTTAATGATTAAAGAAATGTCAAGTGAAAGCTGCTTCTATCAAGATTTAGAAAGGCCTCATATGGAATGAGATGTGGCATCCTGAGTGCTTTTGGTCAAATTTTGAAATGGCTTGTGCAGTGTGTTTTTCTTGTTATGCACACATTTGCGCCACCCAGTGGAACATTCGAAAATGGCAGAGTCCTAAAATTCATATTAAAGTCAACGACTTTTCCTAATTAGAAAGAAGGGCCAAGTTATCTAAATATTTCCTGTGAAAGGATATTTCTTAATTTAAAGTTCTGTCTCTTCACTCAAATATCCTTTTCCAATTGTCGTTCCTAGATAATTCCTCAGTAATAGAACTTTGTTTTCTGGTTTCCTTAGTATTATTTTTTTCTGGAGGAGAAGGCACCATCTTGTGGCCAGTTGTAGGATAAAAACCACAGCTATGCACTTGCCTTTTTTTCTTTTTTAGCATTGTTTTTGTCTAAAGCAACTGTCTAGAAAGAGACCAAACGAATAATAATAAAATGACTTTCTTAATTTAAAAAATCAATAATGGTAATTTCTATTTTGCAATCATGACATAGTTGCAACCAAAGCTCCCAAATGTTGTGCATTTTGTTATTATGTACTTTTTAAAAAGTGAAAAGAGCATCTTTTTACACATGACCTGCTATTTGTTATGTCAAAGGAGAGGAAGAAAAATGAACATTAGTTGTAATACATTATGCTAGATATTTTATTTACTTACATTGTCTTATCTAATCAAGATATTTTCTAAATACAGCCAATAACTTTGTACCAGACATTTTACTTATGTTTTTTAGTGATATTAGTAAGGTACCACATTTTGAATCAGGTGGAAGAAAAATTTGACAATCGGAGAGAACTAATATTTGTGGCTAATTCTACAAAAAAACCATATAGACTTATATGTTTATTTATAAACTTATAAATAGACTTATATGTTCATTTATAGACTTAAATAATAGTTATATCAGTTATTAGATTGTTTACTATATATTCACTATATGCAGTAAATATTTTAATCTGTTTACTACAGTATATATTACTAGAATATACATTAAGAAATTTTGCAGATTTGACAAAAACAAAGAGATAATATATACTGGCTGCCTTCTGTATTATTCAATATTCTGTTATTATGGGTGATGTGGTAAATATAGATTTTGGAATTAAAGTGGGAAATCTGTGTCTTGGGCTTCTTTGCAAACCTTATGCGCCTGAAGACATTTGACTTTCATTCACTAGGGATTGTGTATTTTTTACAGCAAGAATCTAAAGCTTTTGGTTCAGATGGCTTATTAACCTTATGTTAGAAATCTTTGCACCTGTCTTTTTATGAAAGTAGACATTCTTCATTACAAGTAATATTATAGTGCTTTCATTTCATTACCTAAAATTGGTTTCATTACCTAAAATTGGTTTCAGCCCATTTATTTACTTTTGTTTGTTACTTTTGAGGAAAATTCTAGGCTATATTTCTTAATGTTTCTCCCCCACAACAGATCATTGGTAACTGGAAGCATCATAAAACAAAGGTGGCTTCATATTGGCTCATAAAATTGGACTCTGTAAGACAGCGAAAAGTGAGTAATGCCCCAAAACAAGTTTTCCCTTTTAGATGATGTCTTAAGTTGGGATCATTAAGCTACATTCCTAGTCAAACTATATACACATTTTTTGGTTTACTTACTTCTTCAATAACTACTTATTGTATACCTACTATGTTTCAGGCACTGTTCTAGGTTCTGAGCATAAAAAGTGAATTAATAAAACCCATGGTCTCATAGAGCTCACAAAAACTTGAATGGAGCAGGTTCTAGAGTGAAAGGTAGAGAGGAAGAAAACATAGCTTGTACCAGCATTTTTTTCATAAGGAATTTTGCTGTTGAGGGGAAAGGGATATGGGTTAATGACAAGTTATTTTTCAAGATGAAGGGATTTGCAGTTTGTGTGGTAATGAAAATGATCTAGAAGAGAGGAAAGAGAGGTGATAGAAAGCCCCCGAGTAAGTAAGGTGGGAAGGTTCTTCCTATCCAGGAGCGTTTACTCTAATAGGAGGGAATGCAGAGGCCAGTCTGTGTGGCGGGAGATGTGGTTTTCTTTCTCGATGGGGAGGGGATTTCGAAGGTTTGAGGAGACAGTGGAAGGTTTGCAATTGCTGTTTTGGGGAGTAGGAGAGGAGAGTGGCCAGCAGCCCCAGGGGCCCATCAAATGCACTGCAACATTATTTTGGGGAAGAGATACTATTTTAGTCATTTTGGTGAAGGTGCTGTATTCCTTCAGTAATGTAAGCTATTATTTCTACGGTTTATTTCTAATGAGCTGAAAGTTCACACTAATCCAGTGATTACTTTAATTTATATACTTTCATCTGAGTAAACTAAGTTCACTATTGCATATTAACATGTTCAGCAAATAATTAGTTGGTGTTGTGCCCTGTGCTGAATACTGTGCTCTGTGGAGGAGGGCAGAGCACAGCTGGTAACAGAAGTAGATGGCGAAACACATTATAAACCCTGGTACATTTATGCCAAGTCAAAAATGGCCTTGATTGATTAAAATATAGACCTTTTATTAGAATAACTATCCTGAGTTTCCTCAACTTCATGTACTTTTTGTCATCTACAAGTTAGAATAATGTAGATAAGTTGCAAATTGAAATACAACAGATAGTTCAGAAAAAGGATAAAAATATTTATAAGATAGTAACACATGATAAATGTAACATTTCAAATCAGTGCAGAAAAGGTAATTTTCCCCCTAAATGATACTGAAACAGTTGACTACCTACTTGTAAGAAAATTAAGTTGGTGTCTTTTTCTCTTACCATATACGAAAATAAATTTCAGATAGACTACAATTTTACTTCTAAAAAAGAAAATACTAGAAGTTTGAAAGAAAATGTAGAAGGTTGTATTTATAAGCTTAGAATGGGAAACAACTTTTTAAGAAAGGCCTAAAACCCAGAAGTCTTTTAAAAAAGACCAACAGATTTAATTACATGAAAACTTAACAGATGGCAAAAGATGTCTTAACCCAAGGTAGAAGGCAGGAGCAGTGAGGAGGGCGCAGTGAGGCGAGGTGGTTGGGCACTGCAGCGCAGAAACACGACCCCCAGTAAAACCAGCCCCTCCTACGAAGCGATCAACAGAAGACCAACTATTCTATAAATATTAATAAATAAAGTGGCAAGTGTACAAAAAGACTATGAAAAGACAGTTATCTGCTGATAGGTAATTAATGTACAATAGATCCTTGGCCTCACTGATAATGAAGGAAAAGCAAGTAAAAACCATCATATTAGCAAAAATTAATAAGATAGGTAATATCCAGTCATGGAAATAGTATGGAAAAAAGGCTCTTCACTATACAGTTTGAAGGAGAATACATTGGTACAACTCTTTAGAATGGTAATTTGCAGTATCTATTAAAATTACAAGTGTCCATAACCTTATGACTCAGCAAAACCACTTCCAGAATAACAGTTGAATGTATAAAAGATTGTATGTGAACATTCATTGCAGTGGTGTTTGTGAAAGTGTAATATTTGAAGCAGCCTAAAGGTCTATTAATAGATTTAAGTTTAAATAAATTATAGTACATCCATATGATTCAGATGCATTAAATCAAATACTATTCTGGAATGATAGATCTTAACCTGAGGTACATCACAACATTATGACTCATGCCATACGAAACGAACATGTATTGGTAAAATTAGCCAAATGAGCTAATTATGGGTGAAGGATACAAGCTGTAAGCCTCCACCCAGTGCATGGTTGCTGGGGGCTGTATCCATCCACCCTCAGGTGTCTCTCTTTAATACCTGGCAATAGTCTGTGTTCAGAATGACAAGTGCCAACTGTGTAGCTCCCATTGGCAGAGAGGGGGGCCTTCCAGACTTGGGTGGCCTTAACTTTTATTCTCCAGTAGTCACCCATATAGTCTTGGTGACTGACTTCTACTCTCTGCCCAAATGAAGTTAAAATGCCAGGTTTCTGTACTGTGAGTGTCATCCCACAGAACTTTCTACAAAGACGGGGATGTTCTGTGTCTGTGAAGCACAGTGCATCAGTCGCTGGCCTTCTGTGCCTGCAGTGGTGAGCACTTGGAGTGTGGCCATTGTGACCAAGAGCTGAACTTTCAATTGCAATTAATTTAAATTTAAATAGCCAAATGTGTCTAGTGGCTACTGCATTTAACTGCAGATGTAGACAGACCCTGGTGACCTTGTAGATATGCCTTTAAACAAGATGTTTCTTGGTTATCTTCCTGCTGAGAAGTTCCACCGGAGGGTTTGTAGGAATGTCCAGTCAGGGCTGCATTGCCTTGGGCATCTCGAAGGGGAGCTCCTCTGTCAGCTTTTCCTCTTCCTTGTAGCATACTGAAAAGGTATCAAGGTAGGAAATTAAACAAGTTATGTAATATGTATTTTCCCATTTTAATCAACCTACATTCTATGATATTTTAAAAATATATATCTAGTATTACAATTTTTGAAAAACAAGATACCAAAAATGTTAAGCCAACGCATTTCTGGAGGTAGACTTACTGAGACAGGGGAGGGAAAGTGGTGACATTTTGTGTCAGTTTTTTTTTGCTTTTGTATGTTTCTATATATTTTTCAAGTTAAAACAATCTTTTTAAAAATGGGATAATGACAGGGAGACCAGTGTGTCTCTGAAGCCTGTCCTTCCTCCCCGCCCTTATCAACTATTATCTGTCCCTGTTGTAAATCTTCATTGTGCTTGGCTGTGCTTACGATCTGCCGTGAGAGGCTTCTCTATTAATTTTTTCTGCCTTTTTAAAAGCTAGGGGGTGTGTCTTATTTTGTAGTCACCTCACCTGTGAAAGCCTTTTCATCAGCATCTGTTAATTTGATTCATTTCTAGGCACTTTGATGAACTCTGTCAATAGCAAGCTGACGTCCTTCTGTACCCTTTTTTTTTGAGTGATGTGTGTTTATTTGAAGAGCAACAACAAATTAAGACAATGCTGTTCTGCTTTTTAACATGCTATGAGAACTTCTGATAACCACTGTATGGAATGATTAAATGATGTGTGTGAAAACAATAGTATTTGTGAATTGGAAGACAGCTTTCATGTTTAGAGTTGTCATGCTTAATTGGGTTTATAAATTTTGAGTAAAAATAAATGCTTGCATATAAACTACTGGCAAGTACTTATGCCAGTATTTCTACTTCCCCTGTGAGTATTAACTCTAAAAATAATTGGAGTGAGTTGTCTCCGTGTAATCCTTTCCTCTAGTTCTCAGATGTGTGGCCACATCTCTGTATTTACCGGCACTGTTATGTAGAGTGAGTGGAAGCACTAATGTGAGAACCATGGTTTTTATTACAGTTTGTGTGCCTAGTAACCCTTTCTTTGAGCTGCTTTGTTTTCTTCTGTTTTCACCTAAGTCAAAGGTGCTGTATTTGCTTTGTGCTTATAAAAAGTAGTAATATACCTCATCCCCAACAGAGAGCATGTTTAAGTCCTATAGTTTGCACTTTTCCAAAGAGTTACAGTTATTCTTCTACACAGGTAATTAATTAAAAGACAAATATATTTTGGGCAAAAGAATTCATAGCTTGAATTTTGACTCTCGAGGTAAGTAAGGGATGATCAAAAGCAGAGCAAGTTTATTGTGCAAAACCGCCTACTTTCCCGGTGGCCCCGAGAGGTGGCAGAGGGACGCTGGGCCCAGGCCTCGCTGAGCAGGGGGCCCGCTGTCCACGCTTGTGCAGCGAACTCGTAGCCGTTTGTCTTGCTCTGGTCATGACCATGTGTGTCTTTTTCTTTTCTCAACCGTTTTGTTCATTAAGAGGCTTTTTTTCCAAAACAGACTCTAATTCCTCAAACATAAAGCAAAGAGCAGGGCGCTCCTGGGAGAAGGAGCAGAGGGCATCTTCCTGCAGTGTTAGTCCTGTGACGACATTATCCCTCTTGCCAGAGGGTAACTTACATGCTCACACCCGGGAGTAATATTTGGATAATAAGGAAACACATTTTTGTAAAGCTTTACATTTTTGTGATGTTAACCTCTCTGAATTTATGGCCTCTTTTCATGCTAATCCATAAAAACAAGCATAACAAATGTACAGAGCGTGAATGCTAGTCATTGAGCAAGCCAGCAATGGAGGTATTGAGCTTTAACATAAATAAAGATTTTTGTAATTTGAGATTTTTTTAATGTTTTGTCCATTTAATCAATAGCATTAGAATTAAGTGAAATATTTACAATTCACAGAGATATAGGATGGAAGTAATCATTGGGACAAACATGTGCTTAGCTGATTTCATTTATATATAATACATATAAATATATAACATAATATATATTATAAATATATGTAAAACATATAAGAATATATAAAAATAACTTTTCTCAGAGATTGACTGACTGAAATATTTATTTTGACAAGAGAGCTAATGAGTTGGAAAGCTTATTAAAAAAACTTTTAAAGCTATAGATGTTGATATTACATGTTGATAATAGATCATGGAAAGAGGCACTGGACGTGCAGCCCTGTGGACTTGGGCCCAATACTGTCTCTGCCCTTGACTTGGGGCAGGTAACTGC